TGGGTAGGCAACCAGCAGTGTCTGGCCATAGGAATCTAAACATATAACTGTGATTTAGAGGTATCAGCCCACACCTCCCTAAAAAAGACAAGGATAACAGTGAAATAGGCTATATCTCATACATCAAGGCTATTTTAGATGTTTGACTAAGAATGTTTCAACATTTCAAAAATTTCCCTTTCTAAAGCACCATTTATCAAGACTTGTCTGGAATAGGAGGCAGCAAGTTCTAATTCCAACTCTGCCACTAACCAGTGATTCTAAGCAAGGTGCTTCACCTCGTCCTGTCTGTCTTATCACCTAAAAATGAAGGGATTAGACAGAATAATCTCTAAAAATCTTTTGACAATAACCAGTTCTGTGACATGTTCTGTACACATACACTCAAAATCTTGAGAATGATTTCCTCAAGATGCGTAAGGAAAAAGCCCTCACAATGGGACAATGCCCATATGGAACATTCCTACAGACACACCCCATCATTCACATGCTGTTTGCTCTCTTGGGACCCTCAGAGGCCACTGCAGGCACTACAAGATTGTACTAAAAAGCCAAATTGATTACCTATCATAGAACAATTCTTGGGCTTAAAGCCAATAATCCCAGACCCCACCAACTCCAACTCTATGATAATTCAAGTGGGAACAGGGCTCAATTTTTCCCTTATACAATGTGGAAAGAAGGATCCTTTAAGTAGTTTTTTCTTTTTCTTTTGTTTCAGCATTATTAAGTATAACTGACAAATAAGACAATTAATATTTTCTTTAGTAGTGAAAGCATTCTGCCTGAAATCTCATTCACAAATTACTTCCAGGCATCTCAGAAGCACCCCTTCATTCACAATAAATATATGAAGAAAGGTAGTTCTAGACGAGTGCTGTCCAGTAGAACTTCTGGTGATCATGGAAATGTTCTGCATGTCCCCTATCTGTGCTGTTCAATATGATAGTCTGTAGCCATTTGTGTCTATTCAGATTCAAATTAAACAAAATTAAAAATTCAATCCTTCAGCGTGACTGAGTTGAAGCTGCAGTCACATTAGCCATATTCCAGTAGCCACATATGCTGAATGGCTATTGTAGTAGACACTACAGTGACAATTCCTGTGGTTTTACTCAAGTTACTACATGTAACTGAAAGTAATAACATGCTAATAATTTAAAGGAATTTAATAATGCAATCTTTTCACTCATTTAATCTAAGCCAGCAGTCTCTTTGGAAACATTTTTATGGCTACATTTTAGATCAACTCATAAAAATGTTACTTCTCTTTATACATTGATTTAAAACTTTTTTTGCATAGATTATACAAGGACATGTTTCACATGTTTTGAAGTACAAAAAAGTGAAAAAAGTTAAGCTTCCTTCCCTCCCCCACCCACTGCTCCTATCCTCCCCAGAAGGAAGTACACTTCCAGAGATGCATTGTGCACGTGTGCACAAGAACACTGCTGCTCGGTATGTGTATATACTTGCATGTACTGTATGTATGCAACACTCTGCATCTTTGTTTCACTTGAGCATCCGTCTCGGCACTCGTCCTTGTTGTGTATGAAGCACTGCCTTATTCATTCTCATGGCTGCATAATGTGGTACTGATGGATATCCCATCATGTTTTTAACCAGTCTCTCCTGACAGACCTTCAGGTTGCTTCTAATCTTTTACTACTCAATCTGTAATGAAGATCCTTGTACATACATCCTTTTACATGAGTAAAGTGTAGGATAAGCAGATTTAGAATTGGTCGGTGAAAGGACACACGCTTTTACAATTTTGAAAGATAGGACATTGCCCAACACAGAGGTGATGTTAGCTTACACTACAACAAGGCCTGAACGTGACCGTGTCTCTCCCCAGGCTACCACTGGCCTCCTCCAGTTCCCTTCCCAGAGGCAAGCAAAATTACCAATTTTTGATGTAAGGAATAACCTAGTTCTTTTTTCCAGATAGCTACACAATTGTCCACACACGTTACTGAGTAATCTGTAAAAATATTACTTTTAAGCAACATAAACTTAAAAATTTTTGGCTAGCATTCAAATGTCAAAATTCCAGTTTGAAAGGCTAAGGTCATAATTTCCACACAGATGAATTCCAAAGCCCAGGATCTGGATAACAGCTTTCATGTCAACATGCCAGTATCATCATGGTACATGACAAGAGAATGATTGTGAGAAAATAAAACTTGGTTAAATTCTATTTTCTTCTCTCATTAGGAAGAAAGAGTGCAGAGCAAGGCCTGGATATGTCGAGGTTACCAGCGTTCTCACTCCAGGAAAAGAGCTACATTAAAGGCACATCTGATTTCTTGGGATTAGGTCATTTTACGACTCGGTACATCACAGAAAGGAACTACCCCTCTCGCCAGGGGCCCAGCTACCAGAACGATCGTGACCTAGTTGAACTGGTTGACCCAAACTGGCCTGATCTGGGGTCTAAATGGCTACATTCTGTGCCATGGGGATTTAGGAGGCTTCTCAACTTTGCTCAGGTGATTATTACATTAAGCTAAAGGACATTTTTTACCTGAATTCATGTTCTTATAGTATAAGCTCAGGTGCCTACATTTTAAAGTTAATTTAAAAACCCAGTTACTTATACTTCAGAAGCTACTCGATATAGGCCTTAAAGAAAGACTAAAAAAGAAAGAAAGAAAGAAAGACAACAACGAAAAAGACTAATGTGGACTTCTCTAGTGGTCCAGTGGTTAAGACTCGGTGCTTCCATTGCAAGGGGCACGGGTTTGATCCCTGGTTAGGGAAGTAAGATCCTGCATGCCGCACTGCATGGCCAAAAAAAAAAAAATGATGAATGCCTACTATGAATAATCATATATATAGATCATATACATGGTTGTTATACATTATATAAATTATACTCATGTAATATAATATGCACATATTTCATATGACTATATATGTATATATATATACATATTTATATATAAAACTTTAAAATTCTTATCTCATATTTAGTTATTTTGCTGCTCTTCTCACCTGTACTGGAATATGTGGGAAAGAACAAGACCTGAAGCATATTTTCTCTAAAATGATGCTTTGTCAAGAAATATATTCTTCTATATGAACTTGCCTCCTGCCTACACTTATCTCTAAATAAACATGTTAAGTGGCATCTACTAAATGCTAAACACACCCAATTAGAATATGGCAGCTTTCAATATGTGTTCCCATGATTCCTTTCAGACTCAATACGGCAATCCACCCATATATGTGACAGAAAATGGAGCATCTCAAAAACTACACTGTACCCAATTATGTGATGAGTGGAGAATTCAATACCTTAAAGGATACACAAATGAAATGCTAAAAGGTGAGATACAAACAGTCTTCACATATCTTTCTATTTAACTTGGGCAAAATCTGATAATACACGATTGACTAAAACGTTTTTCTAAATCTCATAGATGAAAACATTTAAGATTATCTTCGCAATACTATTTTTCCAAGAAAATGAAATATATTAAAAATGGAATGTCTTTGCAGCTATCAAAGATGGTGCTAATATAAAAGGGTATACTTCCTGGTCTCTGTTGGATAAGTTTGAATGGGAGAGAGGATACTCAGATAGATATGGATTCTACTATGTCGATTTCAACAAGAAAAACAGGCCGCGCTATCCAAAGGCTTCAGTTGAATATTACAAGAAGATTATCACTGCCAATGGGTTTCCCAATCCTCGAGAGGTAGGAATAATTATCAGTGTTACTCATTCTGGATTTTAGAAGAGCTAGGTAGCTGGGGTGTAGAGTTTGGCAGGTGGGCCCATTGTTTCTTTCCCTTTCACCACCTCTCTGCTTGTTTGCTTAGAATGGGGTAAGGACACTGTAAAATGCAATCCTAGCACACAGAGCATTAAGGGCAGACTAGGGTTATGCAGGAGTCCTGTTTACTTTAGGTTATGACAGTCAACAGAAACTGTGATTTAAATGTTATCCTAAATGTTGTATCTTAATGCAAACAAATACTACCTATTCTTCAACATACATGAAAAGTTAAGTAAATTGAATATATAATGACCGTATAATCTTCACTTCTTTTCCCACCAAATTGTACAGTGATACAAATGCACTGGTGCCAAAATGAGATTAAAAGTAATCATTAAAAAAATCCTTTAAAACCTCCCATTTTCAATAACCTACAAATTCTTCTATCAGCTCTCTATTCTGTATGCTGCTGCACCTAATGGCAGGGACTATAAGTTGTAATTTAGAGTGTCTTAATTAAAAAAAAAAACTCATTTGTTTATCCACATTCTTTAGAGTGAGCCTAGTGGGACTATAAATAGAAGCAGTGACTGATAACTATCAGGTATTCACTAGTTTGCATTACTAGAAAAGACAGTAATTTCATTATTAGAAAAAGATAGCTAGATTATAAGCTCGAGAATAAAAACTGTTCTTTGGCTCCCTCACAATGATGCACATAGGCATTCAATAACTATTAACTGATTTAAACTACGAGCAGATTAAAAAAATATATTTCTTACCCCATATTATTCCAAACATGATTTCAAACAGCAAAAAACTAGTTTAAGACAACTTATCAAGTGGGTTTTTATTAGGTGGAAAGTTGGTACCTCAAAGCCTTGGAAACTTGCTCTATCAACAACCAGATGCTTGCTGCAGGTGAGTTTAATTCTTTGATAATTAAACCATGTAATTACGTATGTAATGGTATTACCAAAATCTCAAAATGTGGACCCACCTTAAGTCAATCTTCCAAAATCACATGATTAGAAATGGACTTTCCTTTACTTTGAAGCAATGTCAAATTTCTATCAGCACTTAAAATATGTTTTAAAAATCTACCATGGGCTTCCCTGGTGGCACAGTGGTTGAGAGTCCGCCTGCCGATGCAGGGGACACGGGTTCGTGCCCCGGTCCGGGAAGATCCCACATGCCGCGGAGTGGCTGTGCCCGTGAGCCATGGCTGCTGAGCCTGCGCGTCCGGAGCCTGTGCTCCGCAACGGGAGAGGCCACAACAGTGAGAGGCCCATGTACCAAAAAAAAAAAAATCTACCATGAAAAAGAAATATCTACTCTAGGTTGATTCTGAATCATACTGTAAATTTATAAATCTACTATTGTGTTATAGTGGGCTTTGTTGGAAGGAGGGAGAAATTCAACCATTATACCAAATGGAATGAAGAAAAATCAAACACTCTAGATATTATATTCACTCATTCAGCAAGTAATTATGAAGCAGTCACTATTGACTCAAGGGTGTTTTAAGCCCTGGGGACATAGCAATAAACAACAAGGTCCCTGCTCTCACAGAAGGCATTTCTAATGCAACAGGATCTAAAAGGCTCAGAGATGTAGAACAACCAGGATGTAACCATGCATCAAGAAATGCCAAAGCATATCATTTGTTTCTTTGAATTTTGTCTTTCTCTCTATATAAGGGCAACCAGAGAAATACACTTCCTGTTTTAATGAATTCATCTTCCATGTGGTATCAGAGGTGGAAAATGCTAGACCAAATCCTACCAATTCAACTATTTTTACAGGCCCATATACCACTGTCCCCTCCTGCCTCATCTAAATAATCAGGCAAATATTAAAGATGTATATTCCATTAAACTAAAATAAACTTAATGTAGAGACATGATGTAGAATTTACTGTTGAGCCCATGAGCTTCATGAGAATTGGGCCTGTGCCTTATTTATCTCAGTAACCAAGGGTGCCTGGCACAAAACTTAAAAGCAGGTATTTCGTAAATGTCCACTACAACGTTAACGCACTTGAAATATGCTTATCATTTAACCCTTAAAGACTGTTTAGCTGTGTTAAGAATGACCATGAAAATTTTCAATGCAGAAATTCCTATACCTCTTAAGATATACAATAAACATTTTTGAAAGGATGCAAATGTTTTCCAAGGCATTTTCTTTCCTAAATCCCCCCAAAGAGAATTATAGAAACTGAGGAATATTGGCTGCTAATATTCTGAGTAAGCACTAGCATTGACATACATTTAGACTTTATTACAGTACCTATGGAAGAACCAAATTTAAGCATTCTTAATCCATATTTTCTGAAATATCTTACAAAGCCCTCACATAATTTTTTTATAACATTTAATTTACCAGGTTCTCTTTTATAGCAAATGAGAATAATTAGCAAGTGTGATGATGCCATTTTCCAAGTTTATCCAGACAACTGAAGCTTTCAGGATGAAGCTGCATTTGCCAAAATGACCACATTCTCATCTGCCATGTTGCTCTCTCCCCCTCCGCAGAGCCTTTTCTAAGTTACATGCAGATCATGACGGAGATCATGGTACCTACAGTCTGCACCCTCTGTATACTAATCGCTGCAGTTCTCCTGATGCTTCTGCTGAGGAGCCTGAGCTGAGACAGGGTCATCCATTTTGTAGCTGCATCTTTCACAGAGAACCTTCGGGATCTTCTTCAGGATCTTCCTCCTTTTGCTCCTTCGAAGGTTTACATACATCTGTTTTCAGGTTCTGTGATAATTACCTTCCCACCACCTCTCTCTCTCACTTTTGGCTTGAGCTGGGATTGAAGAATTAGAAAATAAAAATAAGTGTAAATGAAATAAAAATCACCTGTAATCTCACCCCTCTCAAAGTCAATGTTAATATTTTGCTATATATTATGCATTGATTTTCATTTTGCAAAAAGGGATCACAGTGCACAAACTGTTTTGTAACTTATCTCATTTTAAAATCTGTCTGGAAGTATTATTTTAATGTAGAAATGATTGCCACGTTAGCACTGCCCTACACATGACGGACAAAAACAATCCTTTAGATACAACAGTCCTTTCAGACTGTAAATCCTATCAGGCAACCATGAAAAAGCATTAGGTGGGTACCAAGTAAATGAGCATATATATTTTTCTAAAAGAAATTTTCTTATGCTAAATACCCTTTACTCAATGAAATACCTCAAAGAAATATTATATATTGATTATTTAATTTATATATCTTCTCTGTAACTATTCTGTTTTTTCTAAGTCCATTTTATTCTTAACTAAGCTAAAATGCTAAAATTAATATCCATCTATTTGGGTACAAAACATGGCTTAAGAGAAAGAATGATGTTAGGCATTTTATCCATTATCTGATTCTACTTAATGTTGTTTGTGAAACACAAAAACAGTAAGATCGTAGAAAAGGCTATTCCATTAATTCTTTTGGTTAATACTACCTCAAGTTAAACATTTTAAAAAGGGTATTTACATCTGGGACTTAGTCCTACAATTGGGCTGGTTACAACTGTTTTTAACAAAACTTTGCTTTCAATGTCAAATTGGCATGCCTGTTTAGGGTTTTTCTCTTCCATCAATGGTTTTGAGACCACACTCTCCTTCTACTATATATACAGATTTCAAATGCAAAGACATTACCACTCAAAAAAATTTTTTTTCATTTCTCCGGTTTTAGGATTACATTGTCAGTTGACTACAGAAGGTAGAAAGGAAATTAAAGATTTGCACTGCTCAGTAACAGCTGGTAAGACTTTTTTGTGATTACTAATAATCCATATCCCAAATGTATTAAATCAGCATTTATGTTGTAGAAAGAAAAAAAGAAAAAAGTAAGGTATTTAAGACATTATAAAGTATTTGCAGAGGACAAAAAGTGAACATACCACCTTACAGAGGGCCCCATCAGCACACTTCACTTGAAATGCACCTGGCTGCAGGTAACCATGTTAGTAAAGGATATCCTTTCTTCCAGGCTACCGTTTAATGTTAATTCAGAAAAATCTATAACCAGAGAGAGAGATCAGAATTGAATTCATCAACAATTCATTGAACTGTTTTTCTGCTAAGTTACTGCTGAATTTTACAACAATCAAGAGGTAGTCTGAATGATGTGTCTTCTACTTTAAAAGAACTTGTTAGACAAAAATCAGCAAAGACAATTCCTTTTAATAGTCAACCCTCTTGATGCATTGAAAATATGACTAAACAAACTAAAGTAGATTTTTAAAAATTATATATTCAGGGGGAATTCCCCAGCAGTCCAGGGGTTAGGACTCCACACTTCCACTGCTGGGGGCCCAGGTTGGATCCCTGGTCCAGGGAACTAAAATCCCACAGGCTGCACAGTGCAGCAGCCCCCCCCCAAAAAAAATTATATATTTTTAATTTGGTAAGCTACTGCTTTATTTTTTAATGCCTCCTCCACTACAGTTAAATATAACTGTCTTCTTCCAATTGTAATATATATTTCAGAAAACATTTTCTACTTAGGGTTTATAGTCTTAGGGCTAGACACGTATCCATTTTTTTCTCCTGAAGATTGTTGTATTTCAAAATCAAATGATACAATTAACATTTAGATGAGATCATGTCCACTTCCTTGTGGGTCAACATTTTGGTTTCCATATTCCCACCATTACCAGCAATCATTTGCCGAGCACCCACTGGGTGAGCAGCACTCTACTGGACACTGTTTTTCTCCCCCATTAACTCCAAGTCATTATTCTCTTTTCCCAGGGCAGCTAAAGTACACTTTTCTCTCTTCAGTCTTCCTGCTTTTGATGTCAACTGTTTTACTCAAGAGCATCATACCGTTAGGTATCTTGAAAAGCTAGTATTTGACCTAAGTGCTCAGTCCAATGAAATAGAAAGTCTAATTTTGTAAATGCCTATGATCTTTGGCCAAAAATAAATGATTATTGGACTTTAATATCTACAACTGAGGCTTTGTTTGAATAATCTATGACTTTTACAAATGAAGTCCTCCTTTAACAGTGGGTCTTGGTTTGGGCCAAAGGTCACTGAATAATTTCTAGACAAACACATCAAGAATACATAATGGGTAGAAGAGGTTATGAAGTTCAAGTCAAAATGGAGTGTGAGTGTGTTTCCAAGCACGTAAATATATGATTTCATAAAAATTCCTTATTTTCATAAAAAGAGTCACTGGACCAATACATTAGCAAATAGTTTTAACTCTAACATTCAAAACAACTTTCATTCTTTTTTGAAGCAACCTGCATTAAAAAGACTCTAAAAAAACAAAAAAGACTCTAGAAGATAGGTTCTGTATACTTCACTTATTCAGCATCATTGGAAAAGGTGTTTAATCTTGTATTAATCTCCTAACAGGTTTAATCTTAATGTAATAAAATTTATTTTAAAATGGCATTTTTGAAAAATGTATCACATTTATTCATGTCTTTTAAACTTTTAAAATCATAACACACATGTCTTTAAGAAAAAAAACCTGAAACAACAAATATAGATAAAATAAAATGTTTAAACTGGTGGTCTTCAACCTTCGTTGCACAATGAAATCACCTGGAGAACTTTAAAAATTCTGATGTCCAGGCTCTACCTCCAGCGATTCTGATTCACTTGGTCTGGGTATTAGGACTTTAAAGGCTCCCCAGGTGCTTCTAAAGATCAAAGCTGAGACCCACCCCTGCCCTCATCATTCCACACCTCAGGGTTGGGCTTTAGTTGTCTCCTTTCAGAGGTTTTTCTATGCCCCAGGCCCATGGTTTTGCTACTGTAAACAATACTGCAATTAGTGATCTGGTCCACAGGCCTTTTTGCACATGTCTGGTTATATATGTGGAATAGATTCCTATTAATGGAACTGGTGGTCCAAAGAATGTATTCTTTAAAATTTTGGTGAATATCACCCTCCACAAAAGCCATACAACTTTACACTCCATCCAGCAGTGCGTGAGGTTCCCCCAAATCCCGGCCAGCGCTGTGACACCAAACATGTTGACCTCTGCTAATCTGACAGGTGAAAGATGGTATCTACAGAATATAAATTTGCATTCCTCTTATTATAGGTGGGGTTGATCACCTTTTGCTTTTAAGATGACATTTAAATTTCCTTTTTGGTAAACGGTTCATATTACTTGCCCATTTATTCTACTGAGTTATTAATACTTTTCTTACAGATCTGAAAGTTCTTTATATACTAGAGAACGTAGCCCCTTTTCTGAACATGAGCTGCAAATTTCTTTTCCTAGTTTATTATTTGTTTGTTGCTTCGCCTCTGGTATTTTTTGCCACGCAGAAATTTTTTTATTTTTATACAGTTCATTTTCAATCTTTTATAGGCTCCAGCTTTTATATCACACTTAGAAAATATAGCACGATATTAACTGATGGTTCTCAGGAACATTTGATTTCTTTAGGACTTTTACAGTTCAGCCATATGAATAGAGAAGTTCCCATTATGCCTGAATCAAAATATACTCGGGGGGGGGAGAATAAACAATTTCTGGAAATAACTTTGCAAAATATCAATCACTACAATAGGACTATCTGTATTCCCAGCTTTCAAATACCCTTGAATTCTATCTTAAAACTATCAGATTTTATTTTGGATAATCCTTGCAATATTTGAATCAGCCATTTAAGACTTATACAAATAAGAGATGACAGCCCCACACAATCCATGTGCATAAAGATAACAGTCTTATAGGTACTTACGGAAGGAGGTATAATTAACTGGTGGGTCAGCTAATTATACCAGGGGCAAAAAGACATTCTTTGACACACATAATCTTTGATACAATACTAGAAATCTCAACCCTTATTCCTGCCACGGAGAAGGTATTAGAGCAGAAATATCATCACTGTTTTAAATGGTGCAGAAAAGTGTGAAGTATGAGCTGGCATTTCCATTTTATAACCTATTTTCACACCTACGTCCCTATTGCTTGGTGTCTTTTAATAAAATTTCCTCTAGCTAGGATAATGAGAAAAAGCACTCTTTCATGTTTTTTTTTCCCCCAGAATAAATAGGTTTATACCTAGAGTTCAGGAAAATTATTTAAAACTAGGCGCAAGAGCTCTAATAATAATCTCTACTAGTAAACTTAGTTTATTTTCTTTTGGAATAATTTACATGAATAGACTACAAACCATCTCTACCAGGTCTGTGAAAATTCAGATGATCTACAGGTGGGCTGTCACTCAGTTGCCAAACTGTTTTCACCTTCTTTTGACCACTGTTTATTTCCACTCTCCATTTCTGTGGCTTCTCACTAAGGAAAGAAAAAAAAGCAAAGAAAAAAAACCAATCCAATTCCTTCTTTCTATAGTCACATAGTGAAGTCCTTCTGTGGTAAGCACTGAGGAAGAAGAGGTGGAGAGGTCACATTCCTACCCTCAAGAAGCACAGTCAAAAGAGGGAGAGAAACAAGAATGTAAATGATAACAAATTGGTGCAGCCACTATGGAAAACAATATGGAGGTTCCTTAAAAAATACTAAAAATAGAACTACCACATGATCCAGCAATCCCACTCCTGGGCATATTTACAGAAAAGACGAAAACTCTAATTCAAAAAGATACATGCACCCCAATGTTCACAGCAGCACTATTTACAATAGCCAAGACATGGAAGCAACCTAAATGTCCATTGACAGATAATGGATAAAGATGTGGTGTGCCTATATATATATATATATATATATATATATACATACATATACATATATATATGTATATATACACAAACACACACACACACAATGGAATACTACTCAGCCATAACAGTATGGGCACAGTATGTATCACTGATGATAGATGATACTGACATATCTCTCAGATACCCTGGGCCAGGGTTCTGGATTCCTTGACCTAGAGAATAGGATTCAGCGAGGCAGAACTTTGAGCCCATGTGACTACAGAATTTGCTGATGACATAATTTTACACAATAACAATAGGAAATTTTATCTCTCTTTTCAGTAGTTTAACATTGTTTCATACTGTGTACATAAGTGTTCACTCACCCAGTTAAAAACACTGGGTAAACCAAATTTTTATATAGACTACCCTTGCCATATGTTGCTTTTCTCCCCCTTAAAATATACAGTTTAAATCCTTAAAAATTCATGCATAGTACTTTGACATACCTGGGGTCTGTCTGTCTGTTCTTCTCTCATCCACAAGGGATAAACAAACCTACCAGAGCTTGAATGTGATTTATTTTAGGGATCAACCCAGGGAAGGGAAAGCCCTTGGGATTTTTTTCTTTTTAAACTATTCACCAGTTAGGTAAATTAGTTCACTAAGGTAAAAAGCATTCAGAGATACAAAGATAGGAAGCTAAAGGAAATGTAACACTGTGCCACTTGGGGCTCTGAAATTGGATTGGATGAACTGAGTAAAGAAAACAAACAGATGACCCAGGCTTGAGCTCCCTCATTTCTCATGCACAGTTCCTGGTCCCCCTTGTGACTCCTTTCCTAAAATAACCAAGTGCTGATGTCATTGGGTCATTTACTTACAAGTTCACAGCTTTTAGGAAAAAACAGGGAGTTGGGAAACACCTACTTTTTAAATTAGATATAAATCTTGAAAGTTTTGAACTATTGGCAGCTCTTAAATCAGAAGGAACCACAAACCATAAGTATTCTCTCCTGTTGAGCAAGACCAGTAAGTTAGAATAGAATAATTTAACAATTCCATGGTTTTCTCCCTTTCTTCTCCTCTTCATGAAATCAAGAGTGATGAGAAACGGCTCTTTCAAATACCTCTAAAGGTATTGTATTGTACCTCTTTCCCCTCCAAGCAGCCCTCTTTATGCATTTTTGTCCAGGCAAACAAGGACATTGAGTATTGGCAGAAACATGGAGTGCTTTTGTACTAGGCCATCTGTACATAAATGTGTAATTAATTTATTTAATTTTCCCATTTGTGTCACATTAAAGCTTTGTACAGTGTTTTAAGTTCTGTTTTAAAATTATTGTATTTTATTTTTATAATCTAGTAATAAAATATTCATTCCGTGTGCAAAAAAAAAGAATGAAATAATGCCATTTGCAGCAACATGAATGGACCTAGAGATTATCATACTGAGTGAATTAAGTCAGACAGAGAAAGGCAAATATTATATGATATCACTTAAATGTGGAATATAAAAAATAATACAAATGAATTTATTTACGAAACAGTCACAGACATAGAAAACAAACTTATATGGTTACCAAAGGAGAGAGGGGTGTGGAGGGATAAATTAGGTGTATGGGATTAACAGATACACACCATTATATATAAAAGAGATAAACAACAAGGATTTACTATATAGCACAGGGAACTATATTCAATATCTTGTTAATAACCTACAATGAAAAAGAACCTGAAAAAAAAAATAGTATGCATAACTGAATCACTTTGTTGTATACCTGAAACTAATACAATATGGTAAATCAACTTTATTTCAATAAAAATTAAATAAACAATAACAACTCAATTTTGAAAAATGTTGTAATAGAGAAATATCAGACATGGGAGGGGACAATACACGAGGGGTAATTTAACTCAGATTGGGATTGTAGAGTTGGAAAAGAATCCTCAGATATTGTGGTCTTTGAGCTGAGCTTATAATGAAATTAGAAGGAGGAGCTAGTTAATCGGACAAGATCCAGGATGAAAGAAGGACACAGGCGTAGGCACTGTCAGGTAAGCGTGTGCGGTGTCTGAGGAAATGCAGTAACATAGGGTCTCTGACTCAAAAGGAGAGTGGGAAGGCGTGGTGGCACGTGAACCAGAAAGGCACAGCGGCCGGGCACAGAAGGTCTCACAGACCACACTGAGGTGATGGAACACTGTCCTAAAGGTAAGGGAGCCATTTAAACAGAAGGAAGTCATGATGGAATCTGATTTTAGGAAGATCACTTTGGCGGTCACAGAGAAGGAAGTTAATGGAGGCAGATAGAGCAGCTAGGAAAAAGGATTTTACTGCACTCAGCCCAGGTATGAGATGAGCAGATATGAAATAGATGCAAAGATGTAGAGAAAGGAACAGATTCAAGAGCTTCCAAGGAGGTCAGGACTTGGAAACCATTTCAAGGAGGAAGGAAGTGACAGCAATAAGTGGAAGATAAGTCCTAGGTTTCTCTTTTGGGCATTAAGTGGAGATTAATGATGGCCACTTAAGAGGTCATATGGGAAGAGGAAACGTGTTAGGAAGGGGAGTGAAGAGTTGGGATTTAGAGTCTGAACTACCTACAGGACGTTAAAGTTGAGAATTCATGTCTAACAGACACCTAGAAACATGGGTGTGAAGCTCAGGAGAAGCTGCAGATATGGGTTATGAATTATCATTAGCCCAGAGGAATTGAAGATTGGGGTGTGAACGAAATCACCCAGGGAAGACATGAAGTAAGAAAAGAGGGCAGAGGGTAGAGTTCTGGTGGAAACTCACATATGAATGAGGCAGAGGGAGAAGAATTTGAAAAGAGGACCGTTCTCAGTCTTGGAGGTGGGCCAGAGAGGTAGAGTTAAAATTAAGACAGAACGTTATGCCATGAAAACAAAGGAAGGTGATGGGTTCAAGAAAGCAATAGTATTAAACGCCACAGAGCCTTACAAGTGCTTACGGAAGGAGAATTAGTGGGCTAGCTAATTACACAAGGAGCCAAAAAACTCTTCTCCTGGAAAGTGTCCTCTGCATTTGCCAATTAGAAGGCCACTGGCAACTTCTGCTAAACAATTTCAGGGGAGTGATGAGGCTTGGCTAAGAGGGAACTATATAGAGGGAGGGTATAAATGGAGTGGCTTCAGTGTGAGAGAAATTTCAAGTCTATTATATGCTGAGAGAAGAGTCAGTGGAGATCGTGATTTGAGGCAACCTCGGTGTCCCGCATGGATGGCCGATCTATCGTCTTAGCCTCAGCTCCATATCTCCGCAATCCCCAATCCCAGATCCTTCTCTCACTCCCACAGCCATACCTCTGACTTCGCTGTCATTACCCCGATCGTGTTCTTCCCAACCTGTCACTTCCCTTCTGGCTAAAGTTTCTGCCCTATTCTGTGAAGAAATTACAAATTGAGAGAAAAATGAAAGTAGAGGACCAACAGTCTAAAGAGAGCAGACCACAGGCCTGGGAGAAGGAAGAGGGAGGACTCTATCAGACTATGTTCAGGGGATGGGAATCAGATGATTATGGTTTCAGAGGTGAAGCAACTCTGGGTCACGAGGTCCCCATGGAGCAGACACTGAAATTGCCTAGAATCATGGCTGGACTTGAAGTATAATTTAATTATTAAATTGCTTACTTTTGATATAAGTCTTTTATAGCAGTTGGTCTGACTGGCAGCTGAAAAATGTGTTGCTCATCGAGAGGATTTTGTTCATAAAATTTTATGCAGGATCTAAAAAGAAAAAAAAAGAAATAAGAATTGCTTTTGGAAAAAAATGCCACTTGGAGATAAAGGCTTTCTGTTAGTCTAAAGTTCATAAAGGAAACATTAAACCCCCATCCCAACAACACTTAGGTTATTAATTTTTTTTTGAAAGAAAATTTCACTTTAAAAAAATTAATAGTGGACATATTTCTCATAAATATAAAATATATTTATGTTGAGCTCAAGTAAAGGCGTAACTGGGAAGAAAGAGATATCAGAAAAACAAAAAGGCAAAAGAGAGACAAAGATATAGTCTCCATTGTTTTCCAAGTATGGAGAATTAAACAGTTAACTCACATATACTACTGATCTTTAATGGAAAAAAACCCAAAAAAACCCAGTAACAATTTCAAACTTTCCCTTTACAGGTAAGTCAAATTCTAATTTTGGAAAAGGAAATGGTACATTTCCTTCCACAGGGAAAAATAAACCCAGTTCTTCCACTGGATGGTTCACTTATTTCCAGTTTGAAGCCTCAAAAAATACATGTAAGACACCAGCGATCCATGTGTAAGGATTATTCCAAACTGTTTTTAGTCAAACTGACTGACAAACTCTCTAAAATTTCAGCAACACTATTGACAGAGGTCTGATAATAAAATTCGATTCCATTCAGTTACCATATAGATGGTTGGCAATGATTAGCTTGACCCAAATTTATAAGGATATAAAGAAAAGAGAAGGAACTAATATTTATTAAGCACCTCAAGGGTCAAGTACTTTATATACATTACACCATTTTTACAGATGAAAAACAAGATGTAGTGAAAGGAAACTTCCTTAGAAAGGAAGTACTAGATCCAAGTGTCCAACCTGACTCCTCCTGAATCCAAAGCCTTTCCTTCTCATGGCAGTGACTTAGAACCTTTCTGTTACTGTGAAGACAGGGTACAAAAATTCTATCCTAACTGATAGTAAAAAAAAGGCAGTTATTTTGGCTGCAACTATTTCAGAAGAGAGTACATTTTTATGTAAGTAAACAACAGAAACACTTACTGTGTTAAAGAAAAGAGGAGTTCATGTTGAGGTTTAATGAAAAGCATGCAACTGACTACTATTTCGAGAATATGGTGGAGTTTTTGAACACGATGAACCTGCTCTTGTGTATCTACTAATGGAGAAATGAAATATTCCTGGAATGAAAAAAAGGACAAGGAAAATAGGGAGTCAAAGAACAAGAGGAATCTCTGGAAAGAATTAACCGTGCCTACTAAACCTCAGTGTGGATGCCTGATTAATACGGAGGGAAAAAAGAAGACAGGAGGCAGCTAGATAGCCTTCCTCCTTTCAATACTATTCCTTAAACTAAACTCCAAGTCTCCACTGAGAATGTTCTAAGCAAACCATTATACATATTCTCTGGTAAAGGCAAATCGCAGAACTGCTTCACCAAGGAGGTCCAAGTAGGTAACTAGTACTACCCATCAAACTCTCCAGCTGGAAAGAATGGCAAATCCACAAGATAATTCTTAACTTCAACAAACTTGCTAGGTTGATGGGAGTACTCATGTCTAAAAATAGATAGTAAACCTGAAGTAGCAAGAAATTAAGCAAGTGTAGTGATAAGCTTCCACTAACATATATTACTGGTAAACTGGTATGAGGTTTTGGAAAAGAAAGTTGGCAATGTTATGTCAAGCCATCGTAATATGCTCAGATCTATTTCTGAGACCCAATCCTAAGGAAATAATCCATGGTAAATACAGTGGGTGGAATTCTACAATGACCCCCAAGATTCTCACCCCCTGGAATACATGTCTTGTATAATCCATTCTCCCTGAGCGAGGCCAGAATCTATAAATATGGTGGGTTGTTACTCCCATGATTAGGTTACTGATTGACTTTGTTTGTTTATTTATTTATTTATTTATTTTTGCGGTACGCGGGCCTCTCACTGTTGTGGCCTCTCCCGTTGCGGAGCACAGGCTCCGGACGCGCAGGCTCAGCGGCCATGGCTCACGGGCTCAGCCGCTCCGCGGCATGTGGGATCTTCCCGGACCGGGGCACGAACCTGTGTCCCCTGCATCGGCAGGTGGACCCTCAACCACTGTGCCACCAGGGAAGCCCTTGACTTTGAATTAATCAAAAGGGAGAGCATCGCCTGGTCATTACTATGACCTAGTCAGTGAGCTCTTGAAGCATTAGAGATGCTCTCCTGCTGGCTTTGAAGAAACAAACTGCCACGTTATAGAGAAGGCCACATGGTAAGAACCCACAAGTAACCTCTAGGACCTGAGGCCAGTACTGGGTCAACAGCTAGCAAGAAAATGGGGACCTTCATCAAAGGGCCACAAGTAAATGAATTCTGCCAACAATAAGCGAGGGAACTTGAAAGTGGATCTTTCCCTCATCAAGCCTCCAGATGACACCTTGATTTCAGCCTTGTGAAACCCTGAGCAGAGGACGCAGGTAAAATGTGCCCAACTTCCAACTCCTGGAAACTGTGAGATAATCCATTTGTGTTCATTTAAGCTTCTAAATTTTGTTAGGTGGTGACTGAAAACTAATACAGTAAGGGAAAAGTTATGGTCATCTTTTTTTTTTTTTTTTTTGGCCGTACACGGGCCTCTCACTGCTGCGGAGCATAGGCTCCGGACGCGCAGGCTCAGCGGCCATGGCTCACGGGCCCAGCTGCTCCGCGGCATGTGGGATCTTCCCGGACCGGGGCACGAACCTGTGTCCCCTGCATCGGCAGGTGGACCCTCAACCACTGCGCCTCCAGGGAAGCCCTATGGTCATCTTTTAATTGAGTGGAGGTAATGGCAAGGGAGTAGGAGAGATCCATGGGTAATCCTAAATTACAGTTTAAAGGAAGCTATGCAAAATGTGATAGACTAATTTAATGCAAAATCATTTATAATTAAATCCGAAATATAGGGACATATTAATTGTCTTACACAGGTTATTCCAAAATGTGAAAATAACACAAGTAGGAAAATAGGCATGGTCCCAGGCAGAGAAGTACCCCAAAGCAGCCCCACTCACCACAGGCTACAGATTACAATGTTCTCCACACCTGCCACCCATATTCCCTGTGGTCCCCTGACAGCTCTGGAAGTGGCCCACCCAGGTCTTTTTCACAAAGGAACAGATCCAGATTGCCTTTCCCCTTTCTCTCTGCCCGTGCTACAACCCCGCCTGGTCTACCTCGGTCTGTCCCCAAGACCCTGCACAGAGAAGAGGTGACAGAGCCTGATGTTACTGATTACTTGGAGGCAGTACAGCCTAGTGAGGGCTTCTCAAGGTGTGGCCTGCTGTAACAGGCAGAAAACCACCCTCAAAAGATGTTCATGTCCTAATCCCAGAACCTGTGAATGTTACATTTATGGCAAAAGGAATTAATGTTGCAGATGTACACAGTCATTTGACCTTAAAATTGGGAAAGTATCCTAGATTATGCAGGTGAGCCCAATCGAATCATATGAACCCTTAAAACTGGACGAGGGAGGCAGAGACACAGCACGAGAAGGACTTGACCCACTATAGCTGCCTTTGGAGATGGAAGAAGGGGGCCAGGAGCCAAGGTATGGGTTGGACCTTGGAAGTTGGGAACAGTCCTCAGTTTATAGCCAGCAAGAAAAAGGTACCTCTGTCCTATAATTATGAGGAATTGAATTCTGCTAATAACTCAAATGAGCAGGAAATGGATCCTCCCCTACAGGCAGGCTCCAGACAGGAACACAGCCTGCCAACACCCTAATTTTAGCCTAGTGAGACCCAGACTAGAACTTCCGAACTAGAGAACTACAGAGTAATACATTTGTGTGTGTTGCTTTAAGACACTAGGTGTGTGGTAATTTGTTACGGCAGCAATAGAAAACTAATATATCTGCAAACCACCTGCATCAGAACCATCTGGAGATGGAGATGGTTTGTTTAAAATGACATATTCCAGGGAGTTCCCTGGTGGCCTAGTGGTTAGGATTCTGGGCTTTCACTGCCGCGGCCCGGGTTCAATCCCTGGTCGGGGAACTGAGATCCCACAAGCTGTGCAGTGCGGCTGAAAAAAAAAGACATATTCCAGAGCCCCTAGACCTACTGAGTCACTGGGGCCCAGGAATTAGCATTTTAACAAGCCTTCTAGGAGATTCTCAAAGTTTAAGAACTATTGTGTCAAAAGTCTGGAGTCGGGGGCTTCCCTGGTGGCACAGTGGTTAAGAATCCACCTGCCAATGCAGGGGAGACGGGTTCGAGCCCTGGTCCAGGAAGATCCCACATGCTGGGGAGCAACTAAGCCCATGAGCCACAACTACTGAAGCCCACGCGCCTAGAGCCCGTGCTCCGCAACGAGAAGCCCGCGCACTGCAACGAACTGTAGCTCCTGCTCGCCACAACTAGAGAAAGCCCGCACGCAGCAACAAAGACCCAATGCAGCCAAAAAAAAAAAAAGTCTGGAGTCAAACCATATTTTAAAAAACAGGCATATTAAATGACTTGAGGGGAATTCATAAAAATGAGGGTACTCATATTTGAGTGCTGAGATTAAGGGTGTATTGGCATTATATTCTAATTTTCAAAATGTTATTACTTTTCTAAGTATAAAAAAATGTATTAAAAGTTTCCACTAAAAATATACACCCTTAAAAAATGTTTAAACTCTGAATAGCAAAAATTAACCTCAAAAGAGTCCAGGTGAGTCTTACTTTGCATAATAGATAAAGCTAGAGTTTTCCTATCTTGGCATTTTTATAAGAGATCAGATGTCATTTGAAGATCCATTTTCTAAAAGAATCTTACAACAAATGTCAAGGGTCCTTATGGATGCTCTTTAATCTCCTTAACTTTCTAACTCAAGACACTAGGAAAATAAAAAAGTTCATAATCATGACCCTGAAACCCAGAAGCATCTTTTTTTAAAAAAATTTAATTTATTTTTTATACAGCAGGTTCTAATTAGTCATCCATTTTATACACATCAGTGTATACATGTCAATCCCAATCTCCCAATTCATCACACTACCACCCCCCGCCGCTTTCCCCCCTTGGTATCCATACGTTTGTTCTCTATATCTGTGTCTTAATTTCTGCCCTGCAAACCGGTTCATCTGTACCATTTTTCTAGGTTCCACATATATCAGAAGCATCCTTTGAATCAATATGTTAAGGAACATAACAAATTCTTTGGAAAGTAATCCTTCATGTGTAAAAGAAATGGGTCAAGAGAATATAAAGCAAATATTCCCTTATAAGGCCTATCAAAGAAAGGCATTCCTTAACCGTTTTAGATAAATGAGAGTTGTGGGAGTACATTGGTTTAATAAGCAGGATACAACTTTATGTCAGTATCATACATTTATAAAGAATGAGAAGTGACATTGAATAGGCTACTTTTTGTCTGTCATATTAGACAGTGTAATTGCCTGTCTTAATTTATCTGTTTCCTAGAACAGAGGCTGGCACAGAACAGACACTTAATAACTGTATGCAGAATGACCGAATAAAGAAAAACCAACTTTAGAATAAAAACTCACCAAATGATTCAAAGATGCAAGTTCTTGGCCTATGAAGAAAAAACACATATATGCAATTAAGCCTTAGGTATTATCTATTACAAATTAAGCAACCTAAGAAAAAAATTTCATAGTTCATATATAAAAGAAATGCTCAAGCTAAACAGTTTCTCACAAAAAGCCAAATTTTCTGGTACATTACACCATAAATATAAATTAATACTTATTCTAAAAATGATCACAGTTTGCCCCTAATAAAAACAACCAAGTAATGGGTATTAAAATAAAAAGCGTTTTTTATTTACTACATTAACCTCAAAGAATCTCAAAACATTTGAATTAAAGACAAACAAAAACTATAGCTAACTTTAATATAATATCTTTATCGAGCAGGAAACTAAGGCTCAAAAAATGGGAGTGCTTGTCTCACAGTGAACCAGGGGCAAAGCCAGGACTACAAACAATTAGGGACAAGTACAAAGATAAAATCTGAGAATACCTATGTAGCTTTTAATTTTTTGTGATGCAGCTTTTAATTTTTTGAGCTGGGAAATGGCCTTACCTATGAAAAAACAGATATAATCTTTCTTCAGTTTATCCAAACCAATTTCCAAAAGCATCTGAACTGGAACAATCCCACTGAGAGAAACCGTGTCCATGGTTCCATAGTAAGACTGATGAATGAGCTTACTTAGTAAACTGTTACTCCCACTATGAAGCTAGAAATTGGGAAAAGTTTATAAAGCCACAAATATAAATAGTCCAGTAAGCAAAAGAGAAACAAACTGCATTAGCTAAAAGCTAAAACTTATATTATAACCTTACGTTTTTCATCACCTAAAATATTTGACATTTTCTCATTACTGTCCTTCTATTATCTCTAATTTCCAACACAATCTTCTGCATTTTCTTTTTTTTTTTAATACTATTTTCACTTTGCACTTGTTGTACATGGTAGCGATATACTTGTAAATATCTCACAAACACAGAAACTCTCAAGAGAAAAATTCGATGGGCAAGACTAAAATGCATAGAATGACTAATGCCAAATAGGGGTAGGGTTTGCATGCTTCTGCTCTGGAGTGTATCTCCGTTCACACCTCGGAAAGTTTCTGTCATTGTCATGAATTGGCAGTTGTGTTATTTAAAATAATTCCTATTAGATGAAGAATCTTTTTGTTTCTAGCTTTTACCTTAGATTTTTCTTCATTATAAAACCACAAATTCATTATGGAAAATCCATGAAGTACAGAAATGTATAATGCAGTTTGAGAAACTCATTTGTAACCCTACCACCAGAGGTGACTATCATATTTTAGTATATTTGTTTCCGGGTTTTTCTCTCCAAAATTTATATTTTTTATACAATAGTGTATAATCCTTTCTTTTTACTGAACACTGTAAGCATTTCTCCACATCATCTGTAGCACTACATGTGCCATTATGTGGCTATATCATTATTTACTTAGGCATTCCATTAATAGTGAAAATTCAGGTCATTTACAATTTTTGCTACTGTAAATGAGGCTGTAATGACTATCATGATACATAAAATCTTGATACATATTCCTGTGTATGGCCTTAGGATGGCTACATTTCGAGGATCTCAATACATTATCATAACTGCTTTTTAGAGAGTGTTCCAATTTGTACTCTCATAAGTAGTATATGAGAACAATCATTCATAGCAACAGTAACGACAATATTAGTAGCTTACAAATACTGGGCACTTAAGTATGAACTAGGTGCTAAGTGCTTCACATGAATTAAGGAACCTGTCCAAGTTTACACAGCTACAAAGTGGCAGAGCTAGAATTCAAACTCAGGCAGTCTGCTCCAGAGCTTATGTCCTTAACCAGTTTGCTATGCTGCTGAGAAAAGGTTCTCACACACACTACTAAACCTACCCATGGCTGTATATCACCACGCTGTAGACTCTGGATGATCAACGTGAAACACTTCACCAAGTCTTGGTAAGAAACCACACCTTGGAAAGCAAGTCAGTCTAACATTACTTTCATGGTTATTTCTGCAGATCAAATATGTCATTCATTTTAAGGATACACAAATGAAGTGGAAGACAAGTATCTGAACTTTATGGATGGGGAAGGGGGAAAGAAATTAAAGCCCCCCTCCCCCCCAAAAGAGCATTTTTAAAGAAAGAAATTAAACCCATTGCCATAAAATAACATACTTAGTACAATATTATGGAATATCTTTTCCTAATAATTATAATTTCACTAAGGTATATGTTTTGGCTCATATAAATACAGCATAAAAACCACCTAGGTCTTATACTTCCGGCAAGAGAAAAGAACAGGTTCTACGAATTGCCTTGTCTTAGGAAAATTCTTGAGTAAAATGTGCCAATGCATTATTAGAAATGAGTTTGATAAAACAGGAACCAGATGTCCACACAAGACTAGCAGTACACGCTGTATTATTTTCAAAAGACTTAAAAGTAAACCTAAGAAATAACAGGAAAATTTTTATTTCACAATCCTGATGGACACCTACTACTACTCATTTTGCACCACAGCTGCTCAGCAAAATCGAGATCACCCCGTACTGTGAGAAGACACTCCATGGACCGATCAACTGCAGCAGAGTCATGTTTCACTGTCTGGAAAAGAAGTGAGTGTCAGAGAATACTCAGTTTATTTTTTAAAAAGTGCAACAGTTGAAGGCCAATAAGCTTTCAAATGCTACTCTGAGAAAAGGTGGGGTCATGAACACATGCAAAGAGAGACGTGAATGCATCTTCTACAATTTCATCCGCTAATGAGGAGATACAAATAAATAGACAGTGAAAAACGGGACCTCTAAAATTGTTTTTAAACTCTGATGCCTAAAAACAAGCATTCAACTTTCCTCCCATGGAAAAATATTTAATTAAATTACCTTTGTCTCAATTTTCCTATTTGTCAAATGACAACATATTAAGTGTAATTTAATAGTACCACCTGTGGCATATTAACATGCCATCTCATAACATTAATATACTATAATAATATCACCCCACAGTATAGTAACATATTCGTTTCCATTTCTCTGCAGTTAAGTGATTAATAATAAATATGTACTAGTTCTCTTTAAAAATATTCATCGGTTCTCAAGGAAAATAATCACTAGTGCTGACATTAAAGACCAACAAAAAACTACTCTCAAAATGCTACCTTGGCTGTAGCAGATCCATCTGAGATTGTATGACGTGAAAGACAACAGTACAACCAAATTTTACAAGCTCTTTCAGTGTGCATTTCCGATAATAATCACTTACCTCTGTGGTTTTTTTCGTAGAATCACCAAATTCATCCAGCTTATTTAAGTCTAGAAAGTGGCAAAAGCTTATTAACTCTGGATTTTATTTATTGTCCTTCATTCCAAATTATTTCCATCCTAATCCTATTTTCAAATGGCAAATGAGGATAGTAGAAGTATAACCAGGTATTTTAGCAAATTACTTAACTCTCCAATGGAGGTCAAAATAGATACCCACTAGGTAGGGGCGTAAAGATGAACTAAGATACAATGAAAGACCCTGACACACAATGTCAAGCACATGGTAGGTGCTCAAAGGTTACAATCTCAAATATGATTGCAGTATATAAAATGTAAATTAAATAAGTATTATTAATTCTTAAAATCACTGAGACCTTTACAGTTAGCAATTCAGAATGGAAGCTGCCCCTCTCACCATGACAGACCTCATAGCTTTAGATATATCCCAACCAAAAAGAATATCAAGCATAAAAAGACAATTTACATTTAAATATAGCAAGCTTAAATACCCAGTTAAGGAAAGTAAACAAAAAACAAGCATGAGTTAGGAAAACAAACACCATTCAGAAATTCCTGCACAAGTTCAACAGCAGATTTTGCTTCCAGAGACTCAGGCCATTCAGTTACACCAGTCCTCAAACCATCAGCTAAAACCTGTGAGAGATTAAAAAAAAAACAAACCCAAAAAACTTGTTAGCAAAAAACATAGTTTAATCAGTAAAATGTATTTAGTAATAATATTCGTATATATATATATATACACACTTTTTTTTTCGTTTTTACTTGGCCATACCACGTGGCTTGTGGGATTTTAATTCTCTGACCAGGGATCAAACCCAGGCCCTCGGCAGTGAGAGTGTGGAGTCCTAATCACTGGACTGCCAGGGAATTCCTAGTACCTTGAATTCTTCAATGTTTAATGAGATGCCAGGAACTGTTCTAAATGTTTCATATGCAGTATGTTATTTAATCCTCACAAAAACCCTATGAGGCAGATACTACTAGCACTCCCATTTTACTGAGACTAAGAGGTTAATTAACTTGCTTAAGGTCACACAGTAACTGACAGTGCCAGTACATATATCCAGCAGTCTTATGCTAAAGATGGTATTCTGAACTCTCATTATGTGTGCATAGGTGCTATAAAGGATTCAAGACCTATGAGCCTGCCTTGAAGACACTTCTAATTTTGGTTAAGAAGGACCGATAATACAGACGAAATAACTGGGGAACAAAAATGTAAGACTGAGTGGAAGTTTACATAAAAATACCATGAATGTGTATGCCTACACCTACAATATCTAAACTGAACTAAGGAAAGAGGTCGAGGTCAAGATAGGCTGGAATGGCCAGAGGAACGATGTGAAACATTAGCTCAACTCAAATGCAGGAACCATTGGCTACAGAGCAGGGGATAAGATGAAGAAGGTGGGATGCTTCCGCCAAGGGTGGCGAAAACACCCAGGAAACAGCGGCAAATAAGAGTACAAGGAATAGGGATTAGACAGAAATAGTGGCCTTAAAACTTAAAAAGATTTTTTATTTCATTTGGAAGACAACAGCCATTGTTGATTTTTTGACAGGAAAATGACATGATCAAGCAGCTAAGAATTCTCCCGTCAGAAATACTCAGGATAGAGTCTAAGGAAAAAAGAAAGTACAGTGTTCCTCAATAAGAGTGAGATCATCCTCTATCCCAGGGAGTCTTTGGAAAAACGTGAAGATAAATTTTGGCGTCACAGTGACTGTGTGTACAGGAGCACTTTGAGCATTTAGTTTGGTGGGGGCCAAGGATGCTACACATCTTGCAATGTGTAAAATGGTCCCAAACCACAAAGAATGATCCTGGCCAAGATGCCCAGAGTGTGTGTCCCTGTTGAGAACAATGAAGGATCATTAGAGTGGTCCAGAAGGGAGGTAATAAGGGCTTTAACTAAGATGGGCACAGTGAGATACCTCAAAGCGAAAAAAACAAAAAACAAACAGTACGTTCGACAGAAAGAGACAGACGGGCAGACAGAAATATATAAGGAATAGAAGAAAAGAAAAAAATCCTACTTATTTATAAAAATACAGGGGATTGAACTTGGAGAGACGATGGCCACGTGCACATCTAAGAGTCTGTGAATTTCTAAGGGAGATTATAACAAAGAATGGACTTTCAAGTCCGACAGACAGACATGTATTCGAATGAGTTTTAAACCAGCCCTTCCACTTACCAGTTGCTGACACCTCAGGCAAAATAACCGAACCATCTAGCACCACATGCTGGGCACACAGTAGAGTGGCAGCTTCTAGCTGTGGCAGTAACTAGAGATACTTCTTACTAAAGTAAAAGACAGCGTTTCTAGCCTGTGAAACTGAAGGAATGATGAAATCGCAGAAATAAATGGGGGGCTTATTAAGGGGATCTAGTCTGGAGATTTCAAGTTTCATTTTGGACATACTGAATTGGAGGGAAGAGCCCTCTACTCAAATGGGAACTAATTTGATGGAAGTGGGAAAGATCAGAAGTGGTAGCAGCTTAAAGATGGAAGTCTGGAGTTCCCTCGTAAAGGCATTAGTCAAATCACTAAATGGACAAGCTCTATGCCGGGGTGGAGAAAGGAGGGCAGCAACAGGAAGGTAGAAGTATGACGGAAGCCCACAGGAAGGGTCCTGAAAGAGGAGCTCTCAAGAAAGAAGAAAGGTGAGAAAGGTAGAAAAAGTACCAAGTTTTTTACAAATGGGGAAATAATGAGAGGAGGTAAAAGTATGAAAAACACCTGGTACTGTGCTAGAAGCTGAAGGCACAATGGGGTACTTGGCACTCAAGCCTAGTAGGGGAGACAGAGAAGTCAATAAATTACTGTTTGATAAACCGTCTGACAAGGGGGGTGCGTAAGGTTCTACGGCAGCACGAAGCACAGGCAGCATAAGCTATTCTGGGGGATCAGGGCAATCATCTGAGGTGACGATGTCACAGACAGCTAACCCAGCAAAGAGGTGGAAGAAGGGCAGAACACACACACACACACACACACACACACACACACACACACACACACACACACACACAGAAAGTGACAGTGTGATGGGACTGGAGCTGCTACAAGCAGGGAGCTCAGTATGGCAAAGTAGGGAGTGAGATTAAGCTAAAGAAATAAGTAGGAGCCAATAAGAACATGAAAAGATGCTCAATGTTATTAGCCATCATGGAAATGCAAATCAAAACCATAATGAGGGACTTCCCTGGCGGTCCAGTAGTTAAGACTCCATGCTTCTACTGCAGGGGGCACCAGTTCAATCCCTAGTTGGGGAACTAAGATCCCGCATGCCTAGCGGCACGGCCCCAAGAAACAAAACAAAAAAACCCCATAAACAAACCATAATGAGATACCACTTCACCCCCACTAGGATGGCTGTAACAACAATAAAAAAGACAGTATCAAGCACTGGCAAAGATATGGAGAAAATGGAACCCTCATACACTGCTGGTGGGAATGTAAAATGATTCAGCCACTTTGGAAAAGAAAGTTTGGCAGTTCCTCAAAAGGTTAAACATAGAGTTACCATATGACCCAGCAACTCCACCCAAGAGATGTGTAAACATATGTCACATAAAAACTTATACACGACTATTCATGGCAGCATTATTCATAAATAGCCGAAAAGTAGAAACAACCAAAACATATATCAACTGATGAACGGATAAACAAAAATGTAGTACATATGCACATTGGAATGTTATTCAGTAATAAAAAGGAACAAAGTATTACAGAAAGTAGATTAGTGGCCGCCAGGGGCTGGCAGGGGTGGGAGGTTTCTGCTAATGGGTATGGGGTTTCTTTTTTGGGTGATGAAAATACCCTAAAATTAAATATGGTCATGGTTGTACAACTCTGTCAGTATACTAAAAACTATTGAATTGTATACTTAAAACGAGTGAATTTTATGGAATGTAATTTCTATCTCAATAAAGCTGTTAAAAAAAAGAAAAGAAAAAAGAAGTAAGTAGGGCAGTGACTGGATATAACTGGCTTTGTACGCCAAGCTAAGACATTTGGAATTTCTACTGCATTAAAATGACTCCCCCCAATGCCCCACCAGGACTTCCCTGGTGGTCCAGTGGTTAAGAATCCGCCTTCCAATGAACTAAGATCCCACATGCCACGGGGCAACTAAGCCCGCCCACCTCAACTAGAGAGGAGCCATAAGGAAAGATCCCGCATGCCGCAACTAAGACCCGATGCAGCCAAAAGTAAATAAATAAACACATAAATAAACAAAATGAGCGCCCCCCCCACACACCCCTGAGATGGAATTTGTAGAGTGGAGCTTAAACTACTGAAACATAAAAACACATGCTCATTAATCTTCAGCATCAATCAAAATCCCAGTTAGTAACAAGCAGATTATACACACATTTGGAATTAACTGGCAACTGACTCACCCGGAAAGAGGGGAATCCATCATATGAATAAAACTCAAATACTTCGTAGAAAAGGCAAAAGAACTGTTACCCATTAACTACTAACTGATGAATGTTCCCTTTAACTGCAAGGACAATTACCACACAGTAACGCTGCCCCAATTGCCAAGCACGTAACATTTGGAACAAATTTTGAAGAACACAAAGCTAAATAACAAACACTAGCAAACATTTTGATGAAAACATGAGATTTAATACAAGTTACAAATTCTAGAAGGATACTCACAAGGAGAAATTTCAGTTGTCTGTGAAGATGATTCAGAGGACCTCTGGGCTCTCCCAATTCCACCTTAATATTCTAAAAAGTTCCCAGAGTCAGTTTTCACTGGTAATCCCATCTTCTCTGCATCAGGGTCACAGTTATTTGCATTTCAAACTACCCACACATTTAAAAATATATTTCATGAAGCACTAGTGAATTGAAAAAGTAGGTCAATACTGCATTTAGAACACCTTCCCCAGGGATACCATAGGCCCTGCCCATCCCAATACAGTACCCTAAATTCAGGCCACCAGAACCCCTCTCTATACCACAACTGCAGCTACATGGAACACATGCTCTCCTACTCCGTCCCACTGAATTTCCAAAAGGACAAGGAGTAGAAATATAAATAAATACATCTCAAGACTCGGTGACAAACTTAGCATTACCACACACCAAAAACAACACACTCCCTCCCCCAATAAATATGCTCATTAGACTTCTAAGTGTTAAATCTACAATGTGCTGTCTTAGCCAGAGGTCAAAGTTTTATAAGCCTAAATCCTTAAAAAAAAAACGCGGGGGGGATGGTTTGAAAGAGAAGAAAATAGTAAATGCCAGTACGTAAATTCCTATTGCAGGAAAAGAAAAGCGCTAAAAATATAATTATCCATGAGCCACCACTCTGTGGAAACCACTTGTAACTCTATACAGGCCTTTGTGTACACATTTTTAAAAACCATAGTTGAGATCCTACTGTACATTATAATTTTGTACTTTTTGGGTCTTTTTTTTTTCCCTTAATAATAAGCATTTTCTCTCATTATTAAAGATACTTTAAATCATGATTTTAAAAATATATATACACTATTTCATCATGAAAACCTATTTAAATCATTTTCCTACTGACTATTCAGGTTTTGTTTTTAATATTTTCTAAACACAGCTATGTGACTGCATTGAATATCTTTGTCCATATATTTTTGTTACCAATTCTGATTAATTTCTTAAGAGAGATTCTAGAAATGTAAATATAGGGTGAAAGGTCTGAATAGAATAATGACTCTTGATGTGTTGCCAATATATGCACTCCTTTAAGAAAAGCAGAGACTATAAGTCACTGTGATGATTCCGTTTGAGTTCCCACTCAAGAGACTTTATTAATCATAATCGCAGCACTGTGGATAACTGATAGATCAGGTCACCTGGCAAAACCTCCACTGGCTGCTCTGGTGAGACTTCAGGGGCAAGCTGAGCCTTTCAGAGATGCCCAGGGAGAGCTAAGCCTGGGGCTGGGCTGGAAGCATGGAGCACTAGCAACAGGCAAGTTCAAAGTAAATCCACACTGAGTAAACGCAACAGAAAGAAGGGTTTGCTCCTACCAGAGTTGCAGTTGAAGAGAGTGGAGGGATTTGAAGAATCTCATCCACAGGACTCCAGGAAATATCCAAAGTGATCGTAGTTTGTGAGGCAGCAACTGTATCATCCAAGGCAGTGGACTTAAAGAGCTCATACTGGGCAAAGCCGCTGGCTGTTAACTGAAAGAGTGCATCCAGCAGACCATTAGCTATGCTTTCACAAGGCCAAAGGCCCATTATCAAAATGACTTTGACTCTTTTCCCAAAAGAAAAAGTGTCGAGGACTTCCCTGGTGGTACAGTGGTTAAGAATCCACCTGCCAATGCAGGGGACACGGGATCAAGCCCTAGTCCGGGAAGATCTCATAGGCCGTGGAGCAACTAAGTCTGTGAGCCACAACTACTGAGCCCACATACCACAACTACTGAAGCCCGTGAGCCCTAGAGCCTATGCTCCACAACAAGAGAAGCCACCGCAATGAGAAGGCTGCGCACCATAATGAAGAGTAACCCCTGCTCGCCACAACTAGAGAAAGCCCACGCACAGCAACGAAGACCCAACGCAGCCAAAAATAAATAAATAAATAAATTTATAAAATAAATAAATAAAATATGTTAAAAAAAAAAGTGCCATGCTTTTATCCCAAATGGAAAAATATGACAATTCTTTTTCATCACAAAGATTAGCTAAAAGGCAAGGCATATATTTTCAGTCATTAGTTGATATGAAAATAAACATTTTGATACTACAGAAAAATATCTAGTCATATTAGGAGTGAAAAAACCTTTACACTAGGAAGGCAGATTGGTAGCAGTTTGAAGAAAATAATATGAATAGAAGAGAAATACTTACAGTAGACAAGTGATGTCTTTTCTTGTGTGAATTTTTGAGGTCTTCAAGATTTACAGAATAATTTTTATCAGCTATAGGACATGAAAGAAAGAAAATAGTTTACAGGTACAATTCAAAATTACATCATTAGAACTAGAAAATTATAATCCCTCAAATTCTGAGGGTATCACAACTTAACACTAATGATTGTTGAAATTAAATTTTAAATCACAGATGAAATGTTTTTAAAAGAAGGAAAGTGGAACAGAGGTCAATAATACTACCAAAAGTATAATTAAAGGCCCACTATGAAATTGGAATTATATTCAACTTTTTTATCCTCCAACGAAAACTTCCAAAAATACACACATATAAATGAAATGAAACCCAAATAAAACAGCCATAAACTTCTGTTCGGACTTCTGGAAATCTGTTTCTGGACTATCTCCTACATGCTGCAAGTTACACATTGCAGTAGATTCATGGTGGCTAAAACAAGTTCCACTGTGTGCACTTCCCTCTTAACAATATCAAGTTTCAGTAAAGACCACAAAGCAATAACTATACAAATAAATATATACACACACACCCACAAAAGTAAGAGAAGTGAGCTCTCACCTTTACAGGTGACCATGCACAAGACAATTCCTGTGATGATGTTATTGGTTATGATAAGCTCAGCTCCCAGCCAACAGGTACCTTCAGGATCTGAACCATCACACCTTACCCAAAGGGGAGGAAGGGCAGTAACTGGCCGATTAATCTTCAAATGGGTCATATTAGGATTGTGAGCCATGGTGTAAAGTCCAATTAACTGCCTTGGAAACAACAGTAGGAAGAATAAATTAGACGTAGAGACTGTCAATCAGTCAAAAGTTTTCTTTTCCAAAGATATCATGAACAGTAGCTACGATTCTGACTCTGATCCCACTTCTGATCACCATCTAAGATTTTATACCCAATTCCAATGTGTGAGGTTTTTCCTTACACCAAGCAATTCTGACACCAGCTGGGTATCCTACAATTCAACTCAATTCTGACACTATCTACCCAAAGATAGAATCAGCTCCCACAGGTTAAAGCCTCAGTCCTACAAGACTGCCTCCCCCCAACTTCCAATTGCCAAATTCCAAGTCAAGGTTGTCATCTGTGTGTCTATAGATCGCAGGTCCCAACAACCCCCTCCTTGGGTTAAATTAACATGCTAGGGCTGCTCAAAGAACTCAGAGAAACATTTTACTTGCTAGATTACCAGTTTATTATAAAAGCGTAGAACTCAGAAACAGCCAGATGGAAGAGATGCAAAGGGAAAAGTATGAGGAAAAGGGCATAGAGCTTCCACGGCCTCTCCTAGCAAGCCACTCTCCCAGCACCTCCATGTGTTCACCAACCCAGAAGCTCTCTAAACCCTCTCCTTTTGGGTTTTTATGGAGGTTTCATTACATAGTCACAATTGATTAAATCACTGGCCACTGGTGACTGAACTTAATCTCCAGCCCGTCTCCCCGCCAGAGGTTGGGTGGGACTCAAAGTTCCAACCCTCCAGTCACATGCTTGGTTCCCCTGGCAAGCAGCCCCCATTCTTAGGTTACCTGGTGTGGGGTTCAAAAGTCACCTCATTAACATAAAAAAAGACACCTTTATAGTTCTCCACACCTAGAAAATTCCAAAGGTTTCAGGAGTTGGGTGCCAGGAACAGCAGACAAAGACCAAATATGTTTCTTATTATACATCACAATATCACAGAATCCCAGAAACAAATATCTGGAAATTAAGTGGCAAAATACATAAAAGTTTCACCAAGTGAAGAAGTGGGAGCAGGGTACACGAGGCAGATCAAGAAGTGACAAAAAAAAAAAAAATGACAAAGTGAGCTTCCCTGGTGGCGCAGTGGTTGAGAGTCCGCCTGCCGATTCAGGGGACATGGGTTCGTGCCCCGGTCCGGGAAGATCCCACATGCCGCGGAGCGGCTGGGCCCGTGAGGCATGGCCGCTAAGCCTGCACGTCTGGAGCCTGTGCTCCCCAACGGGAGAGGCCACAACAGTGAGAGGCCCGCGTACCGCAAAAAAAAAAAAAAAAAGACAAAGTGTAGCTACTACAAGCAGGGAGTTCAATATGTGAGAGACAGTCATTGGGAGTGGAAGTAGGCTGTGAGATTAAGCAAAAGAAATAACAGAATATGTCAATTATATCTCAGTAAACCTGGGGGGTGGGAGAAAGTAGAAGCCAATAAATATATGAAAAGATGCTTGAGGTCATTAGTCATGGAACAGTTAAGGAAATTTGAATATAGTCTGTGGATTAGATGGTAATATTGTAACAATGTTAAATTTCCAGATTTTGATGACTGTTCTGTGGTTATATAAGAGAATGTACTAGATTCTAGGAAATACATAGTGAAGTATTTAGGGGTGAAGGAGCATGATGTCTCCAACATACCGTTAATATTTCATTTAAAAAACTGTGTGTGTGTGACACGTGTTTGTTATACAGATGGGGGAGTGGGCAGGAGCAGAGGAGGAGGAACAAGTGACAGAATCACAAAGCAGAGACAGCAAAATGTAAATAATGGTCAATCTGGTTAAGGGTACACAGAAGTTCCTGAACTATTCTTTTAATTTTTCTGTAAATTTGAGTGTATCAGAATTAAGTTACCAAAAATACGGCTTAAAATTTTTTTTCAAAGAGATGAAAGCTAAATTTATTACCAACAGATGTTCAGAAAAGGCATTTCTAAGGGATTGTACTTCAATAAAGAAATACAATAATCCTAGAAGGAAGGTCTGAAATGCAAGAAGAAATGGAGAGCAAAGAAATGATAAGCCTATGGATAAATCCAAACAAACACTGGCTGGAGAAAACAATGCAAATAAATAATGTTCAAGTTACGGGACAGAAAAGCAAAACAGGCCAAACATGACTTAAAATCAAGAAGCCAAGAAAGAAAAGACTGATTAACTACAAAAGATTTTAAAAGCTTCTACACAGCAAAACAAAACAAAAAAACCCCACCGTGGGGGCTTCCCTGGTGGTGCAATGGTTAAGAATCCGCCTGACAATGCAGGGGACACGGGTTAGAGCCCTGGTCCGGGAAGATCCCACATGCCACGGAGCAACTATGCCCGTGAGCCACAACTACTGAGCCCGCGTGCCACAACTACTGAAGCCCTTGTGCCTAGATCCCGTGCTCCACAACAAGGGAAGCCACCACATTGAGAAGCCCGCGCACCACAACTAAGGGTAGCCCGCGCTCTCTGCAACTAGAGAAAGCCCACGCGCAGCAACAAAGACCCAAAACAGCCAAAAATAGATAAATTAATTTAAAAAAAAACCCACCATGAAAGAAAGTGACTTTGTGAATATTGTTATTATGGTCCTTATTCTCTAATATTGTTATATATATAACCGGATCCTCCAGGACTCCTTGACAGCAAAGACTTCTTGGTTTTGGAGTTGAGGGAGGCCGGGCAGACAGAAAGTCATATATTGGCGGGTGGGTAGTGAAACTGGCAAAGCAGACAGAGGCGGTAGGGTTTCTAACAGGGGCACTACTGGCATCTGGGTGGGATAATTCCTCGTTGGACAGGAGAGCCCCATGCATTGCAGGACATTTACCATCCATGGCCCAGGCCAAAAGCTCCCCTGAATCACTGTGACAATCAAAAAGTATCCCTACATATTTCCAATTGCCTGCTGAGTATGGCACCCCTCATGGAGGACCACTGGATTGGATGCTGAAGGCTCATATGTGTCACTCATAAGGAATTTGGATTTTATCATGAGGCAAAAGAACCACTGAAGGATTTTTAAGCAGGGAAGCAATACAATCAGGCTTTCATTTTATAAAGATCACTCTGGCAGCAGTGAGGAAAAAAGATTGGCAAGGAACCAGATTAGAAATAAGGAAAACAATTACGAAGCAACAACAGTAAACAGTATAGGGGAATGGAGAAAGGGAAGATCACCGCAGTCGTCTTAGTTAGGCTTGGGATACCTATGGTACAGTCAAGGGACAGTCAAGTAGAGCTATCCTTAGAGAACTGAGTATACACATCAAGGGGGAGGCGAAAGGAGAGAGGGAGGGATCTAGCTAGATACATATTTTTTCCCCAATGTTTATAAGAACACTTCTATTTAAATCCTACCCTCCATCCCTACACTAAGAAAAAACTTACCTGGCTCTCCCAACTGGTAAAGCAAGTGGTCCAACATTTTCACCAGTAGAGAAATCAGAAATAGCAGTTTCTTCAGACTGTAGTTCTTCAACATGACTTGTTTCTTCCTTTTCTAAAGGCTTTAAAAATGTTTAATTATTTAACCAGGTAAAAGAACACTTAAGGTAACAGTCAACTCTTTACTATGCTGGAACATAACATACTGATTTCTAAACGCTTAAGCACAAAATGATTGGGTTATGACAAGAATCATAGCTACAAATCAATTTGGTAGTAATAAATCCCACCGTCAGAAGCATTTGCACTGTCCTATAAAGATATTGATCTAAGTTGCTACTGATAAAGGAAGTATCTGATACCATCAGAAAAGGAAGTGCTCTACCACGTACAAAATGATGTACAAACACCAAGGGAAACCCATGGAAGACTCCCTGATTTTGTCACTCCACAAACTTGAAGGTTCACAGCCCTTACTGCTTAAGTCTATTCCTCTTAGGGCTATCAGCTCTCATTTGTGTTTCTGATATCCATGTGTTTAAGTAGTTAAAAAGTTCAGTTCTGCCAATAATAACAATAATTTTACGAATTAACACTTCCTGAGCATGTACTATGTCCCAGTACTGTTGCAAGCTTTCTTTCATTTTTCATAAAAACCCTGAGATAGATACTATCATTAACCCTGTTTTATTGACCGGAAAACTGAGCTAGTGAATGGCTGAATAGCTTGCCTAGAATAACACAGCTGCTGCGCGGCAAAACTAACATTTGAATCTAGGTAGTCTGACTTCAAAACTCAAGTTCTTATCCACTAAGCTCTTCTAGCAGTCAATACTTAATAGGTATCTGACCTAGATGTTTCCTCAACTTTGAATTTCTTCTGCCAGATTCCAGATTTTATTCCCTTCCAGGCCTGGGTTTCCAAATAGTTCCTAGAAGTATCCAAGAAATGTCATTTTTCCTTCCGTTCTACTTTTCAATATCCATCTACCTAAAACTCATGCTTTAAGCTCTACTGATCTTTGTAGAAATAAAGCCCATTTTAATTGTTCCCCAACCAAAAACGCCAGGTAACTCCTCACAACTCCAAGCTGCATCCTCACTAGTAGCCCGACCAATTTCCACAAATTCCTCTGCTCACCTTTACCTTTTCCCAGGTAACTCATCTTCACCAGACCAACTTCATTTTTTCAGCTTTTGCTCAACAAACATTTTCCCTTCTATGGGCAAAGTCTAAATTCAACCACATAATTCACCTATAATTATTTTCCAAGCATCTGTCCACCACTGATAAGCATCATTAGTACAAAAGACCAATAAATATGTCCCCTCCTCAGAAAGAAGTTTCTGTGTGTATTTAAAATAAAGAGCTCTCTGTTCATTCATCTCAATCCCGGTCCAGACAGCATGTGGGCCCTAAAGCAGACAAAGATATTCCTTCTAAAGGAACATCCACTTTCCCCTATTAGATCCTGTTCCTATCTACTTCGGGAAACAATATACCCAAGAATGGGTCCTGGCCCCAAAGCAACTGTGTAACGTGACAGCATTATCAGCACTCAGTTAACATCACTGTTACTGCTCTGCCAAAACAGTTCCCGAACTTCAAACACAAAGGTGCCGTGTGCAGGGCAGAACTAGAGATGCACATGTAGAGAACAAACGTATGGACACCAAGCGGGGAAAGCGGCGGGGGTTGGGGGAGTGGATGAATTGGGAGATTGGGATTGATATGTATACACTAATATGTATAAAATAGATAACTAATAAGAACAATAAGTAAAATAAAATTCAAAAATTGAAAAAAAAAAGAGAAAAAAAACCCCCACAAAAGTGTAAGGCTGTAATTATAAAGTGATGCAAAAAATAAGAAGTCCCCTCTTGTTACATTTAACAAGCAAAAATTAAAGTAGAAATTTACAAGTCATAGCTACTTATGCTGTGCTGTTCAAAACAGTAGCCACCCACAAGCCACATGTGGCTTTTGAGCACCTGAAATGTGGCCAGATCAAATTGAGATTTAAGTGTAAAATACATACCAGATTTTGAAGACGCAGTATGGAAAAAAGAACTTAAAATCTCATTAATGATTTTTATATGAATTAGGTATTGAAATGATAACATTAGATAAATTAGATTAAATAAAAGCATTATTAAACATAATTTCAGACCCAGCAATCCCACTCCTAGCCATTTACAGTAAAGAAAACTGTGCTCACATAAAATTCTGTATAAAAATGATTATAGTAGCTCTATTAGTGATCGTTGAAGACTGAAAACAACCCAAATGTCCTTCAAAGGATGAATGGGTAAAGAAACTGTGGTACATCCATACCACAGAATACTACTCAGCAGTTAAAAGAAATGAACCATTAATACACAACTTGAATGAATCTCAAAGGCATTATTACACTGAGTGAAAGAAGCCAGACTCAAAAGGTTACACACTTTTGTATGATTCCATTCATGACATTCTTAAGAAGATAAAGCTACAGTGAGGGAGAAGAGGGAATGATTTTTTTTTGAATTTTTGAATTTTACTTTATTTTTTTATACAGCAAGTTCTTATTGGTTATCCATTTTATAGAGGGAATGATTTTAAAGGGATAGCACGAGGGAGTTTTTTGGGGTGATGGAACTGTTTTGTGTTCTGATTATGATGGTGATTACCAGATTGTAGATATGTGTTAAAATTCACACAACTGGGGCTTCCCTGGTGGCGCAGTGGTTGAGAGTCCGCCTGCCGATGCAGGGGACACGGGTTCGTGCCCCGGTCCGGGAAGATCCCACATGCCGAGGAGCGGCTGGGCCCGTGAGCCATGGCCGCTGAGCCTGCGCGTCCGGAGCCTGTGCTCCGCAACGGGAGAGGCCAAAACAGTGAAAGGCCCGCGAAAAAAAAAAAAAAAAAAAAAAAAATTCACACAACAACAAAAGAAAAAGTCAATTTTACAGTATGAAAATTAATTACCTTTTTTTTGCAATGAGGCTACCAGAAAATTTTTAATTACGTATGTGGTTCACATTATCTCTCTGTTGGACAGCACTGTACTTACTACTAAAAGATATTAGAATCCACTGTCACTAACATGCTGACAAGAAAATGTGTACATTTGAGATTATCCACAAGACACCAAATTTGGCTGTTAAGAATTAACCACAAAGCCCAAGCACTACTTACCACTTTTTCCACGATGAATACTGTGTCATTTTCATTTAGAATATTTTTCAAAGGGTTTGGTTGGCCTTTGCTGATCAACTGCACTTGAACATCAGTCTGTTAAAAATGGATAAAGGTCCAGCAATGTTATAGATACACACATATATATGTACAAATATTTAAACACATAAAGACCAGTTCTATGCAAGTAACTGGAAAAGAGAATTTGAACAAGACGTAATGTTTTCAAAATATAATTTCATTTATTCTTTGTCCATGTTGTTTTTCATGTTAAGAAAATCTAGCTGGGGAATTCTCTGGCGGTTGAGTGGTTACGACTCTGCACTTTCACTGCCGAGGGCGTGGGTTCAATCCCTGGTCGGAGAACTAAGATCCCTGCAAGCTGTGGCATGGGCAAAAAAAAAAAAAAATTCTAGCTCTTATATCTGTTATCTATGTGCTTCAAGGCCCACCTAAAGAGCACCCTGCCTTGTAAGACCTTTTAATTAGGATCACGCTGACATCCTCTTCCCCTAATCATATTGGATTTACTGTTATGAACCATAAAATTAGCTCTTCACTAAATATTATCCTTTTTTCTGATTGTACTATGGAATTTAGAACTTTATCAGTTTATAGGAACTGCATATTTCTTCATTCCAATTGCAATAAACATTTATTGTAGAAAAGTTTGGAAACAGGTAGCTAAAAGAGATTTTTAAAAACTGATCTATAATTCTACTAGCCAGAGTAGTCACTACTATTATTAGTCTTTTTGGTGTATATTTTGCCTGATCTTTTTCCAGACATATAAATAAATCTATTTAAAGAGAAACATATCGGGACTTCCCTGGTGGTGCAGTGGTTAAGAATCTGCCTGCCAATGTAGGGGACACAGGTTCGATCCCTGGTCGGGGAAGATCCCACAGGCCACAGAGCACCTAAGCCTGCGAACCACAACTACTGAGCCCGCATGCCACAACTACTGAAGCCTGCGTGCCTAGAGCCCGTGCTCCGCAACAAGAGAAGCCACCACAGTGAGAAGCCTGCGCAGAGTAGCCCTGCAGAAGCTACTCTTCTGCAGCGAAGAGTAGCCCACACTCGCCACAATTAGAGAAAGCCTGCGCGCAGCAACAAAGACCCAACTCAGCCAAAATAAATAAATAATAAATAAATAAATAAAATAAAATAATAGAAATATATCTGTTATTTTGATAACTCAATAGGATTTTGCTTAAAAAATAAACAGAACATTCTAATGGTTTCATATCATGAACTTCTTTCCATGCCATTAAATGTCCTTAGGCTCTCTAGTACCATGGATCTACCATCACATAATTCCATATTATTCAACATTTGGGTATTTTCAAGTTATATGCTATAACAAACAATTGATAATGGACATCCTTTAAGTACTTTAAGATGAATATCTAAAATCACATTTATATTGTCAAATTGCCTTTCAAATCTGTCATACCCACATATTTGCATTCCCATCACTTAGGTCAACATATTATTTTCATTGTTTATTTTTACCTCTGTTATTGTTTTAATTTTCATTTATTTGATCACTAATGAGAGTGAACAGCCTCTAATATTATTATTATTGACAAATATCTCTCACTATTTGAACCTATTTCTTAGTTTGGATATTGAAGCATTTAGATACCAAGTTCAGAGAGCAAAGGATGCTTTGTTATTCTGATCTACTAAGTTCTTGATCAAGTACTGTTGTGGGTAGAATTAAGTCCTCCCAAAAGATAAGCCGAAGTCCTAACCTCTGATTCCTCTGAATGTGACCTTATTTGGAAATAGGATCTTTGCAAATGTAATCAAATTAAGATGAAGATTAACTAGGTTGGGGGGGGCGTGGCCCTAAACCCAATGACTGGTATATTAACAAGGAGAGAGAGATTTAGAGACATAGACGCACAGGGAGAATGCCATGTGCTGACAAAGGCAGGTATTTCAACAAGCCAGGAAACACCAAGGATTGTTGGAAACTACCAGAAGCTAGGAGAAGGCAAGGAAGGATCCTTTCATAGAGACTTCAGCTGGAACACAGCCCTGCTCACACCTTGATTTCAGACTCCTAGTCCCCAGAACTGTAAGAGAATACATTTCTCATGTTTTAAGAAAACTAATGTGTAGTACATTGTTACAGCAGCCCTAGGAAACTAATATAGGTACCAACTGGTAATAATTCAGATAGGGAGGGATTAATAATACATTTACTTGGATATATTTGATTTTTGAGTTTGGTTAGTGAGAATTCATATAGTAAGAGATAACTATACAGTTGGCCATTGAAGAACACAGGTTTTAACTGTATGGGTCCACTTATAAACAAATTTTTTTCAACAGTAAATGCTATAGTACTACATGACCCACTGTCGGTTGAATCCACAGATGTAGAACCTCGGATATGGAGGAACCACATATAGGGAGAGTCCACTATAAAGTTATAATCAGATTTTTGACTGTAGAGGGCCAGCACCCTTAACCCCTTTGTTGTTCAAGGGTCAACAGTATTTGTATTTTTCTTTCTGTGGTTACTTATTTGTATCCTTTGCCTATTCTTCTATTATGATTGTCTGTTTTCCTTATTGATTTTAAGAGCTTTTTATATATTTTACACACATGGATATTAGCCCATTTATGACTATTTCTCCTCAGCTCGTCTTTTAGAATATAAATTTTAGTTTGCTAATTGTTTTAAGAGATTAAGTTCTATGGGGAGTTTACCTATGGAACACTTGGCATATGCTTAAACTTAATAAATTCATGAATGTTTATAGCAGCTTTATTCATAATTATCAAAAACTGGAAACAATCCAAGTGTCTATCAACTGGCAAAACAGTGGAATACTACTCAACAATAAAAAGGAATGAACTACTGATACACACAACAACACAGTTGAATCTCAAATGCATTACATACTCATTGAGAGAAACCTGACCCAAAAGGCTACAAACTGTATGGTTTTATTTATATGACATTCTGGAAAAGGCAATACAGAAGACAGAAAACAGAGATATAAAACAGATTAGTAGCTGCCAGGGAACAGGGGAAACGGTTGACTATAAAGGGACATGAGGGGATTTTTTGGAGGTGATAGCAATGTTCTTGATTTTGGGGGTAGTTATATGACTAAATGCATTTGTAAAAATTCATAGAACTGTACTCTAAAAGGGTGAAATTTAGTCTACGTAAATTAACTTCAGTAAACTCAACTTTTAAAAACTCAAAATTTTAGGATGATTGAGTTGTTTAAAAACCAAATAAAATGTTCATACCTCATAGATAAATGGATCTTTACAGATTCCTTTCTTTTCTTCATCAAATTCCCTGAAATGCAGAACCACATGTGAGAAATAGAGCTATAGTATTCTGTCATTTAAACTCAGGAGATAGCCATTACTTTCTCCAAGAGAAAAGCAAAATGCAAAGTATTCATGGCAGTCCTAAGGCATAGTTGAGAAGGGAGAAAAAAGCAGAAAAAGAGTATTAGGTTAACAAGGAAAAAAAAAGAGATGTGATAGAGATTAATAGACAGCTGCCCCAAAGTGGGTACTACTGCTTCTCAGAGGCAGCAGGAAATTAGGTTGCCTACCTCTACTCTTGTAACTTTTAAAACACAGTACCAATTACTATTAAAGTGTAAGTTACTACATGACTTTTGGGAAGTAAAAATGACTGGATTCTGACCTGCCACTGAATCAGCGGGTAACCATGGAGAAGTTATTTAAGGGTCCCAGGCCTTGGATTTCTATTGCTAAAATGGAAGCATCTATCCTCCCTGTTTTCATGAGCTGTCACTAAAAAATTAGTAAATTTGATAATGCTAAAGCATTTCCTTTTTAAAATGTAAGCATAAAACTCTAAGATACTTCATAATTATCATTTTATTCAAGAAAGTTGATCCCAAAGCATGTAAACTGTTAGCCATTAACATACCAAAATGCACATCAGCCTGACCTACACTCTGAAAGAAAAGAATTTTTAGAGTCCTAAAGGAACCCAACAGAATGGTTTCAGGATATCATTTATTGTTTGATCCACTCTATAACTCACTGAAATAAAAACTATGACTCACATTTTGGAAAAGATTGTGACTTATTCTTAAAGAAGTTTAACTTCTATGTATGCATAACTCAGGGATGCTATTCAGTCAATCATTCAAGAATCATGTCACCAGTATGTGTATTATGGGAAGGCACTCTGTGGACAAAAAAGTTGCCTGCCATTCTGGTAAACACCGAATGCTGCCCACCATAAAACCATCAGCCACGGCAGCCACCCTGGTGCACCCTGAGGGGAATTCAGGATGCAGAAAAACAGGATACTGGCCCTAGACAGTTAAGATGCGTATCAAAGGAATAATTTCAATGAGTCCAGACTCTTACATCTTCCCATACATGGAAAAGCACTAAAATCATTAACTTGAGATGTCTGTTCTTGTGATTAGTAGTAAACTTTTGATGTTCAACTACTTTTTTGTTTTGTTTTGCTTTGTTTTTGTTGGTTTATTCCCCCAGCAAAAACTCCTATATATTCTGACTACTCCCTTACCTCTTTGGAACAGTTCTTCAGAGCTATCTGAGAAGCTGATTCCCAGGCTATAGTCCTCAGTAAGGTCCCCAAATAACGTAACTTTTGGGTTTTGGTTTTTTTTTTTCGTCAACAATTCTTTCCCCCCCCACACACACACTGTATTTTATTTTTACAAGAGATAAATAGACTGACACCAAGCATTGTAAATGGATGACCACAGCAAAAGCAACCATGATTGCAATTACCAAACACGAAGCACATACTATGTCATAATATTTAGTCAACAATTCTTACTAAATGTCCAAGATATAAAACAAATGCATAGCCTCTGGTTCATAGTCTTGACTGTAGTCCAACTAGCAAACCAACAATTGCAATACAGGGTGATGAGTCCCAACAGAGGGGAGTGTGGGGTACTGTCATGGCACAAAGGAAGAGGTTTTGCTAGAGGGCTTGAACTGTATGCTGAAAGCCAAGAGGAGCTCACTACAAGATTTTAAATGAGAAAGATATCCCTGACCTCCTGGTGTGGAGGCTATAAACTTGGAGGCCAGGAAAATAGCTGTGAATAACTTGTAGTACTTCAAAAAAGTGATGATGGTGAACAAAAGCAGTAGGGATGGAGGGAGAACAAGGGCACCTGGTGACTGACTAGATGGGACAGGGGTGGGTGGCAGTGGAAAAGAGAACCAAGTGACAGTCTTGGACTTGGAACTCTTAACTCATAGACAGAATTCAGGAGACTGTCAGATTGTGGGGAATAGATGAATTCAGTTTCACAGACGTTGAGTTTGAGGTCTCATTTGGAAATTTCCAGTAGGCAGGTAGCTACAAAGGCAGTGTGAGGGATACAGGTGGAGAGAAAGACTAACACCTATGAAATAATTAGGAAATGCAAAAGGTCTAAGTAAAGTTGTATCAACAAGGGACTGGTTAAATAAACATAAAATAGCCATACAATGAAATATTATATAGCTGTTAAAAACAGTGAGATGTATAGGCTCTCATACTGAAAGCTATCCAAGACATTGTTTAAGAAAAAAAAGAAAGAAAAAGCTAGTGATCTTTCTATAATGTTGAAAAACCTGACTAGCATTACCACTTTTGTGAGCAGGAAATAAAAGCAATGAAGAAAAATAATGAAAAAGTATGTCATTTAGAAAAGAAGGGGTTAGATTACAACAGTTATCAAAGTGTCAGGCCCGCAGCATCTGTTTCACCTGAAATTGGTTAGAAAGGGAAATTCTTTAGCCCCACCCCAGACCTACTAAATGAGAAACCCTGGAAGGGGGCCCAGCAATATGTTTTGGCAACCTGCCAGGTGATAGTGATTCATGATCAAATTTGAGAACTACTGGATTCGATTTTTATGTTGGATACAGAACTGGATGGAATCCCCTTTAGTACCAGTATTCACTATACGAATAAAACGAAGTCTTAAGAGCACTGTGAAACAAAGGTGCTTTAAAGAGCCGACACACCATCACGTTATCATTATAACTGTTGCTCATATAACTATCTTGAATAGACTATAACAACACGTTTCACGCCAGCCAGGCTTTAAACAGGTGAAAGATGTCAACATCTAGTTTTCTCTATCCTGGTAGGTGCCCCTAACATACCACAAGTTGTGTGCATTATAAGAGTGAATAATGTGCTTCTTGGAAAACTTGGCACCTTCCACCTCGGGAGACAATGTACACGTGTTTTCTCCTAAACGAAACTACAAGCAGCAGGGCCTACAGCGCCAACCCCACACTGTAGCAGGTAATCGGCGTCTCCCCAGCTCCCAGCTCCCAGCTCCCAGCTCCCGGGAAAGCGGACTTCGTCTACAACATTCGCGCCGCTGGAAACTGGCAAGGCGCTAATCCCCAAGGCTGTGGAAAGAGGCTTGGGGCAGGGATCGAATACACCGAGGGAGAAGTGCTGTCCTCACAGCCAAGACAAAATCATGGGCTACTACTCACTGAAGGAGATGAGCGTAAAACTCCTCAGCAGCTCGGTTGGTTCGCGACCACATCCCACCCCAGTTTGACTGCAGATCCGAAACCGCCAAACTGAAATGCGCGCCAGACGCTGACTTCCGGGGTTATGACCCCCCCGCCGGGACTACTTTTACCACCACCACCACCTCAACAGGTCCCGTTTGTCCACAAAGTTAAACTTTTGTTTTATAGCATACAGCTGTTTTTCCTGTCCCAATAGTTTTCCATTCCCGTAAGAAAAAGTTAAAATAAGTTGTAACGGTTGAGGGGGGAAAGACACTCGTCTCGCGAGAGTTGGCCTCGCCCCCTTATGGATTACTCCGCGAAAAGGAGTCCCTTGTTTCTAAGTGCTCTTTTTGGCTTTGGAAGTAAATAGATACCGTAATTTGACATATATGAAGAAATAATACGCTATTTTTATTTTTTTAGATTGGTAGAGATATATTTTGTGTCCCTGTATTGGTTTTGAGACGGGGCAGGGTGGGGGACGAGTTGAAGGTTACATACAGAGTGGGAGTGCAAAACTCTTCCTTTTCCTGTGGGAGCCGCCGGATTGAGAGGAGCGTGGCCTTCTCCTCTCCCCGCCATGGTGAGTGAAAGTTCTCTTCGTTGGACCTTCCTCTGCTCTTGGGGCCTGGCAGGAATGGGCTTGGGGGTTCAGAGCATAAAACCTTCATGAGGGGAAGCGAGGAGAAGGAGATGAGGACCAAAGGGCTTCTGTGGCTGGGATCTGGGAAGTGAGGCTCTCCGGCAGCCATCTTAGAGGCAACGTGTGCGAGCCGGCGCAGGGCGCGTTTGGAAGCGACACAGGAGGACCCCCAGATCGTTCTCGGGCGCAGAAGGACCTTTGGAATTCTGGCTTCCCTTGGATCTTGAAAGAATGGGTTCCACTGAAGAATTGGAAATTTGCAGGGCCTAAGACTGAGTCTGGGTGAGAGTCAGTTTGGGGTCTTGTATCTCTGTGCCCGGCTTAGTAAGGAATACTTCGTCTTTTGAGAGATTTCGTTAAAGAAAAAACTTGTATTTCCACTTTTTTCCTAAATTATTGTGTGTTCATCTTAAGAATTGCCTCTGAAAGCATTCTTGTCCTCTTGCTTTAAAACTTTATTGTTGTGTATGTACTGCATAAATAACGTCTGTAGATGTGCCTTGGGGAGTTGAGTGAACAAAATAGGGAAAAAGCACTATCCTTATGAAGCTTCGATCGTAATTGAGCTGGTCAAAATGCATCGTAATGTTCGATGATAGTAAGTGCTGTAGACATAGGAAGTTGGAGAGAAAGCAATAATTGGGCTTTATAAACAGTGATCAGAGAAACCTGAAGGTGGTGAGGAAGGGTATCTTTAGGTAGGAGACCGGTTACATCTGAGGCAGGACGGGGATGGCCCTGAGTGTAGGCCTGAGCATCTGGAAGAGTATGGAAAGCGAGGTTGAGCAGGTTGTGTACATCCTGCTTGGGATGTTTTACTTTCAGGTGGTAAGTCTTTGGAGAAGATTGAGCAAGAAGTAACAGGGCTGTTGTTTTTACTAGTAATTTTTGGAACCTGTGTTTGGAATGGGATGAAGGGGGCAAGGATGGATGTTTGGAGGAGTGGAGCCCTGGTAGATTTGCTGACATTTGGGATGAAAGAGTTTGGATGATGGCATTAAATTGCATTTTCAAACCTTACAGTATGGTTTTGATTATTTTGCTTTCTAAGGCCTCATTTAAAAGTTGAATCATAAAGCGTTCTTTTTGAAAATGATGAAAATTCTGTGGCAGAACTTGAGAATCATCAGTGTCCTTCAAGTATTTACTGATGTTAATAGACCTGATGGTGTGTTGGTAACTTAGCCTTTGTTTTTGGTTTAAGTGTTATCTACCTCATCAAACTCTAGTCTCTTCTGGAACTGAACCGTTAATTCTTTTGTTGGCACGTGAGAAGAGTTCTTCTGACATTGCTTGTCAATATAAATTTTTTTTTCTTTTCTCAGGCGTGTGCTCGTCCACTGATATCAGTGTACTCTGAAAAGGGGGAGTCATCTGGCAAAAATGTCACTTTGCCTGCTGTGTTCAAGGCTCCCATTCGACCAGATATTGTGAACTTTGTTCACACCAACTTGCGCAAAAACAACAGACAGCCCTATGCTGTCAGTGAATTAGCAGGTACGGATTTAGATCTTTCCTGGGTTGACTTTTTAAGAGGTACTTAACAGCAGTGATGAAATTTCACTCCATTGGTCCGTGTTTCTGAACCACATGATTTTCCTGGATGTTCTGATGCTGTTTGCTACCGTGCATGGTAGTCAGAATGGTGTGGTTGGGTAGCTAAAACTTGGGTTTCTTCACAATTTCAGGTCATCAAACCAGTGCTGAGTCCTGGGGTACTGGCAGAGCTGTGGCTCGAATTCCCAGGGTTCGAGGTGGCGGCACTCACCGCTCTGGCCAGGGTGCTTTTGGAAATGTATCCTTTGTTTAACCACCTAGACTAGGCAGCTGTGGCATTTAGCAGGCTGGACCTGTCTTTTTCTTGTTAGTAGTTGCAAAATGATTTATGCTGAAGATGCTAGTGTCCAGATTAAACATTTCTCTAGATAGATTTGAAATCTGGAAGATTTTTCCGTCATAATTTTTAAAGCCAACAGGTTTGACAGTAGGAGGTTTTGCTTGCAGTGATGTCGTAATTTGCGCCTTACTCTGTTCTCAGCGACAGTTGCCTGCTGTCAGTAAGCTGGTTCAGAAGGGTGACGAAAATTCTTACTGAGCAAGGCATAACCTGTTTTTAATTCCTAAAATTTGAGAAATGTGATTCTTAACTGGGAAAACAGATGTGTCGTGGGGGCCGCATGTTTGCACCAACCAAGACCTGGCGACGTTGGCACCGCAGAGTGAATACAACGCAGAAGCGATATGCCATCTGCTCTGCGTTGGCTGCCTCGGCTTTACCAGCTCTGGTCATGTCTAAAGGTTTGTGATATTTTATATTCTAGGAGTCATATAAAATAACCCTTTTTTTCTCTACCTGACCCTTTTCATTGGTGTTACCTGTGTACGTTCACCTCATCCTAGAGTGTCTGGCTAAATTTCCGTCTGCTAAATACTAGTTATAATCATTTCAGTCTTAATCGTCAGTGAATACTATGTATCCAGCTCAATCATCAGTGAATACTGTGTAACTGGGGGAACTAATTCAAATAAAGTGATGTTGTATATTGTTCGAATACTTTTCCATTTTGTCATGTTGCTTCCTCTTTTTATTTAACTGTCAAAGTGATGAGATTCCACTTGATTGGTCCGTGTTTCTGAAACACATGATATTTGTGGAAATTCTGATTTGGCAAATTGTATACACCATTTTTATTTTGTGTGTTCGATTCAGTTTTTCAAAGGGTGCAGGTAACCAGGTCACTGTTAATTGGCTTTGTCAGGTCATCGTATAGAGGAAGTTCCTGAACTTCCGTTGGTGGTTGAAGATAAAGTTGAAGGCTACAAGAAGACCAAGGAGGCTGTTTTGCTCCTGAAGAAACTTAAGGCTTGGAATGATATCAAAAAGGTAGATTTTGTGGTCCTTCACACAAATTTGTTGCCAGATTTTAAATTTCAAAAGATTACTGAAGGGGACAGTATAACTAAACCACAGTGGATGTGAGAGCAAGGACTCTGGAACCAAATTACCTGAGTTTGAAACCTGAAATCATTGCTGTGTTAAATTTAGGCAAGTCATTTTTGCCTCTAGTTTGGTTATCTGTAAAATCAAGTTTTTTAAACTATGAAGATCTATTGCAGGGATCATATCTCAGTCAAAATACCAAACCTCCCTTTGTTAGGTCTACGCCTCGCAGCGAATGAGAGCTGGCAAAGGCAAAATGAGAAACCGTCGCCGTATCCAGCGCAGGGGACCCTGCATCATTTATAATGAGGACAATGGTATCATCAAGGCCTTCAGAAACATCCCTGGTAAATCTTGTACTGCTTACATGTTTTAATTACCTATGCTATGCAAGCTTACTCAGCTTTTATTATGATGAGATTCCACTTTATGGTCTGTGTTTCTGAAACTTCATGATTTTGTGGAACTTCTGATTCTTGGCTGAATGAATGAGCCATTGATGGTTGAAATTCATGATTAAAATACTTCTTGGGTGCTATAAAGATGATTTGTGTTTCTTCTGTTGAAATACAGGCTCCCTAATTCTTGTTTTCCCTTTAAAAGGAATTACTCTGCTTAATGTAAGCAAACTGAACATTTTGAAACTTGCTCCTGGTGGGCACGTGGGACGTTTCTGCATTTGGACTGAAAGTGCTTTCCGCAAGTTAGATGAGCTGTATGGCACTTGGCGTAAATCTGCCTCCCTCAAGAGTAACTACAAGTGAGTGTAATTCATATATTGAACATGGTGTTTATGCTGTGGATAGTGTTCAAAATTGGTTTGCATATTTTCTAAATAACGGATTGTGTTGCCATTTCCTCCTTGTAAACAGATGCAATATGTGGAAATGGTGAGATTCTGAGAAGTGATAGTATAGTGGAAATTCTGATTGTATTCTGTCGAGCTTAAATGATTAAAAGTAATCTTTTGTTGAGGTTCATGGTTTTTAGTCAGTTACATGAGAAATAGGAGTTGAGCCTCTATAGTCAGTGTTTTCTGTTTTCATTTAGCCTCCCCATGCACAAGATGCTCAATACAGACCTTAGCAGAATCTTGAAAAGCCCAGAGATCCAAAGAGCCCTCCGAGCACCACGGTAAAGTTGTGATATTCACTGTAATTCTTGCCTAGCCTCACACTATTGGGTATTTCAGAAATATGGATAATGTAAATAAACTATAAATATAGTCTCTACCTTTTTATAGCAAGAAGATTCATCGCAGAGTCTTGAAGAAGAATCCACTGAAAAACCTGAGAATCATGTTGAAGCTAAACCCATATGCAAAGACCATGCGCCGGAACACCATTCTTCGCCAGGCCAGGAACGTAAGCAATAATTTGGGTTTTGCTGATTTATGTTGAGTTTTTAGAAAGATTTGATTCTTAGATTTTCTTCCTAATTTGTTGCAGCACAAAATCCGGATGGATAGGGTAGCAGCAGCACTAGAAGCCAAATCAGATGAGAAGGGGATTCCAGGCAAGAAGCCTGTGATGGGAAAGAAGGGAAAGGAGGCTGTTTGCGTTAAGAAGCTGAAGAAGCCGAAGAAGCCAAAGAAGCCTTTGGTGGGAAAAAAGGCTGCAGTGACCAAGAAACCAGCAGCTAAAAAGAAGCCTGCTAAAAAGCCTGCTAAAAAGAAGCCCACAGAAAAGAA